GCCTGAGCCGCCGCTGCTGTGTTCCGACGCGCCTGTACCCGTTACAAGCCTGCTGCTGGCTCCGTTACTGCCGGCTTCTAGCGGGTCCAGAATATCCGGCTCATGCATGTTCTTTTTATTCACGAGATAAGCGTGCGGAGCGTCGGGGTACAGTTGCAGCACTGTGCGCTTACGGAGGCGGCCTCTAGCGGATCGAACCACCTCCTTGAAGGTCGCTTCCAGGCAATCTGCGAGGAAGGTCGGGGCGAAATGCGCGGAGAGAGAACGAGACATCTTAGCTGATCGGCCAGATGGAAACGCGTTACTGCTGCTGCTGCTACTGCTGCTGGTGGTGATAGTAATGTTGGTTGAATCGGTCTTGATTGTGTCTGTGTCGCCGCTAGTCGCGCTAGTACTGTGGGGGGTAGCTGCTGACGTGGCTGGTGTCTCGCCGTCCTGTGCTGCTGCGGGGAGCGCGGTTGACACGGGCGCGTCCGTACGCTCCGGCGGAGCTGTAACCGTTACTACACAGTTGCACTTGCTCGAGGGAGGGGCGGTTACTGGTCTTTGCGGCGGCTGGCGGAGCAAGTTCGCGGCGGCGAGAGCGGCCCGCGAGTGCGAGCGGGGGTGAGGGAGCGAGGGGGCGTGCGGCGAGAGCGTGTGGGAGAGAGTGTGGATGACGGTGGCTCGCAGCTGCGACAGAATCTGAAACGCCCTGCAGCGCTCTAGAGCATCGTCTGCGACGGCGAAGGCGATCAGACCCTGACCGAAGGAGAGGAAGAGGTTCGTGCGGCCGTAGCCCTGTTGTTGTGGAACAGGTAAGGGAAGAGGGCGGGAGGAGGGGGGGGGGGGGGGGGGGGGGGGAGAGGGAGGGGGGAGGGGAGAGGGGGGGCGTGAAAAGGGGAGCAGCTTAAGGGGAGCGGGAAATGGGTCTGGCAGGAGCTGCAGCTGGCCAAAGCGTCGTCCGCGGCGGGGAGGCGATCAGGCCCTGACCGAAGGAGAGGAGGAGGTTGGTGCGACCGTAGTCCTGATGGGAGGGTGAAGGGGAGGAATGAAGGGGAGGAATGAAGGGTGGGGATTGAAGGAGGAAGCAAAGGAGGGAGGGGGAAGAGGGGGAGAGAACGGATTCAGCTACAACATCTTCTTTTTACAACCCTGAACAGGGTTATGACCAAACTAGGGTTTGTGCTTCGCCTATGCTTTTTTTGTACGCAGACCAAACTAGGGTTTGTGGTGGACTGACGAAACGATGGATACTATGATAAAGACTCGACGACTCATTAAAGTCTGTAACTTTTGTAGGAGTGGGTCGCTAGACCACGAGAAGTTACGGATCGAGGATAATAACAACGTAGAAGAGGCTGAGAATGATCACTTCTCTCACTAAGCAGAATTTACTCTCCTAAACGGCTACATTGCGATTATCAGCTGAAGAGAACCTGCAGGTAGCATAAATGTGTTGCTCGGTCGACACAAGGAGAAAGAATGAAAGAACAAAACGTTTCCCGCCGACGCCTCACCAAAGAGTATGTGCTACAGTGTTTAGGAGCGTCTGCCAGCACCGCAGAGACGGCGCTTCGCAGAATCTTCCTGTGCCGCCCGAAATCAACGAGAATAGACGGCCCTCGCGCGATGCCGATGTAATACACGAGCTGCGTCTCGCGATCTTTGTCGGGATGTGCAGGCGCCTGGCCTGGCGCGTTCTCCACCGCATCTCCCGCCGCGTCCCACGCGCTTGGGGTGAGGGACGATGCGAATGTGAAGAGAATAACAGGCTCTTTAGGCGGGAGTCTGTCGCGTCTTGACACTCTACCCATCCTTTCGCCTCTGATAATCTTCAGAAATCGCTTTTAGACCTAATATGGAGCCAGTTAACCCTTGCAGTGGCGACGAGAACGTGCGCACAAAACCTGTTTGCGAAATCAGGTCTGCGAATAGGCGAAAAGAGCTGAGGTAATCGGCCGGGTCGACGAGCGTGGCTCTCCTGCTGCTCAATTGCGCTGGACCGATGCGGACGGTGAGATTAGATCATCATTAGATTCTAATCACGCTGCTTGATCTTGAATGAGTATCAAATAATGGAGGCGAAATTAGATACTTCAAATTGGTAACAATCGCTACAGCCGCTTCCAGTTTGCAAAAAAGCAACACCCGTCCGCCAGCGGACTGTCTTACGGGGGTTCTGACTGCATAATTTCAAAGTAAGACACAGTGTAACTGAGGCAGTTCCGAGCTAGCTGGTTCCAGGTTAGCAGGCGGGAAATGAATACTAAAGCTTAGCTACTTTAGCTGTCACTAACCAGGCTATCTAGAATAGCGAGACTGATGGAGCTGCAACCTCGCAATCAACCTGGTGAAGCTGTATCAGAGGCACCTGCACACTTGCCTAGATTTTGTCGACGCACTGTCATGGTCCTCCCTTCATGTACCTTCTCCCATCCACTCATCTCCCTCCCGCGCTCGCGTACTGTACGAAACTTTCTAGGTTGGGTGTTCTGCTCTTCTCTCTCCCCCAAAAGCCTCATCACTTTCTTTCATGCAATCAGCTCCTCTCCTCCTCCCCTCCTCCCATCCTCCCCTCCCCTCTGCTCCTCCCTTCTCCTCCCCACTCCTGCGCTTTCACTTGCCCAACAAACAGCGTGCATGTCTCTGGCAGACATGATTCTATGTTTTGTCTCTCCGCTCTCGTCCTATCCTTCTCCAATCCGTTTGCGCTTGCCTTGATTCTTTCGGCCAGGATTTCTGGGCTCCCTCTCATCTTGGTCTCATGCATTCACCTCACTTGTATTTTTGTGCTTCTTTTTGTCCACCCGTGCTGATATATTCTGGGTATGGACTGGCGCAATCAGAAATCACCCAAAGAACATTCTCGCAACATACTCTAATTTTAGTACTTAGAGGTTGTAATATGACCATGGATCCGGTGAACTGTATAAGCAGAGCCTTCGAAAATAATATCACGACCATTCGAATATGTATTTTGGTCAGAACGCGGTTACTGTGAATGAGAAAGTGACAACTGCACAAGAACACTGTAGTACTCGAATCAGATCAACCGAGCGTGCATCTTTATTGCCGTCGAGGTTGTCGCATTGATTTTTTCCGAGCCAACGACTATTCTCCCGTAGTAGGTTCGTAATTCTTGCCCAGAACTCCCGAAAATATGACATCGTAAATTCCATAGACTCCCAGCACTAATCCAGATTTTCCGCATCTTGTTCCACAGAGCGACCTGCCGGAGTATGGAAATCTAGGAAGTGTGGGATATCACTGCTACGAAAATTACGGGTATCCTCAAGGACAGCCCACCCACCGTGAACTCTGAATCTTCCAGCCTGGCAACCAAACAGTGCGGCATGAAAAACAAAGGCGCCTGCTTGACACAATGGCCCTCTGCACAGAAGCCAGCCTGGTGCAGTGCATCTTGGACCGTCGGATCCGCCACAGGGAACCGCTGGCTAGACAGCGCGGCGGAAGTTTGTCGTCCAGCAATCCATGTTGGACCTTGAATGGTGCTGCAGTAAGTACACCAAAACCTCGCTGTTTCGTAAACGAGTTTGTGAAACTACTCCATATATTTGCTTGTTCTGCACAGACACACTACCTTGCATTACAGCCTCCCTAATGCCATTAATTTGGTCCTTACCTCGTAACATGCATTTCAAAACAACCCCAGCTGCATTTTTCAACAGAATACGCCAAACACCACACATTCTCAACTACATTCAAGTATATGTCATCCGTTATCATCTCTCCGAGAGCCTCGCCGCGACTGTTCTCAGCTTCGAGTACACCTTGCCAGCTGGCGACCCGAGAATGAGCGAGCAGAGTGCGTCTCGTGCCACACGGATGTTTGCATACGCCCCAAGGACATGGATCTTGGAATCAGCAATAACGATACGTGTCCGCGTGGCATTCTCAATCGTGAACTTGGTCTTGCCGTTTTTACCCGACAGTCGTCCGATGGCTCTAGATAAGTGCTCCCCTCTTAGCGTTTTCACATCCTGTGAGGCACAGTAGCAGGAGGCAAAACGGGAGTAAAAGGATGTGGGAGAAGAAATGGAGATTGAGTGCAGCAATTGTGGAGGCAAGTTAAAGCACGATCAGTGCTCCCTTCTTATTATCTTCATGTCCTGTTGCAGGGCGGTTTGGCGAAGAAAGGTGGGGGCAGGAACAGGGAGAGGAAGGATGGGGGAATGGAAGCTACGGAATGTGCATGGGATTGGAATGAGAATGAGTGCTCGCAGCTCATGGCACATAGGAGACAAAACATGCTCCTGAATCCTCTGGGCCAAGGACAGACTCTTGGCAGGAAAGAATTACCCCAGTTTCACATTCATCTAGCACAAACGATCACATGCTCGTCTCCGTCGTCCCTCTTCTGCTTTTGAGTCGTCACAAAACTCTCTTCACCTCCTCTCACTCTCTTCACCTCCTCTCACTCTCTTCACCTCCTCTCACCCTCTTCACCTCCTCTCACCCTCTTCACCTCCTCTCACCCTCTTCACCTCCTCTCACCCTCTTCACCTCCTCTCACTCTCTTCGCCTCCTCTCACCCTCTTCACCTCCTCTCACCCTCCAAATGGGCTCAACCTGTCACCCCCTTTCAACCATTATTCAACGGCTGTCACGACACTTATCCCTCTCAGCTTTTACAGCTTCTGAGACGTCTCAAGACTTTTTCACCCTCGTAACCTCATGACACCTCGATCTAAAAAATATCTCGCCCTGTTCCTTCCTCCCTCGGACACCCCAACCCCCCCTCTCCTCTCCCAAACTTGATTACCTTTTTCTCAGCTTCAACTAGAACCACCTCTCACCCTCTTCACCACCTCTCACTCGCTTCATCACCTCTCACTCGCTTCACCACCCCTCACTCGCTTCACCACCTCTCACTCGCTTCACCACCTCTCACTCGCTTCACCACCTCTCACTCGCTTCACCACCTCTCACTCGCTTCACTATCTCTCACCCTCTTCACCGCCTCTCATCCTCTTCACCCTCTCAACCGCCTCCCAGCTTCATCCCCACCCTCTTCCCACCCTCCTCCCACTCTCTTCCCACCCTCCTCCCACTCTCTTCCCACCCTCCTCCCACTCTCTTCCCACCCTCCTCCCACTCCGCACCTTGATCTCGAATGATTCGATATAGAGGTCATCGATTCGCAGCATGGCGATGGCGTCTGTGAGGCTGAATCCCATCATGTACGCCGTCACGAAATCGGCGCACTTCTGCAGCGCCGACGGGTCCGCCGTGTCCCTCCGCGTCTTCAGCTCCACCTTGCGCGCCTGGCGCGCGGATGCGGGTGGGGGAAAGGAGGGGGAGAGTGGGGGAAAGGGAGGTGGGGGGCGGTTGGGGGCAAAAGGAGGGGGAGCGGGAGAAGAGAGACGGTGCGGACGGAGAGGGACGGCGAGGGATGGGGAGGGAGGGGAATACCAAGTCAAGACTACACTTTGTTATTACCGATCCGCTACACCGCACTTTAAGGTTCATGCCTATGTGGATCTTAAGCAGCTCAAACAACCGAGTGTAGATGTCCGTCCACCGCTCCCCACCGCGTATCACCCACCTTGAGGTTCATGCGAATGTCGATCTTCATTTGTTCAAACACCGGAGTGTATATGTCCATCCATCGTTCCTTGAGCGGCGTGTACCGATGGGGCGGCACGGGAATCTTGCGGAACTCGAACTTGCTTCCCCCCATTTCCGCCGCCGTTAGCGCCGAGAATTTCGGCTTCACCGGCAGTTTCCCGGCCGCCGGCGCATTTGTCGGCGTTGCCGCCGTTTTCGCTGGGTTCTGCGAAGGCGAGTCTACCTCCATGTCGAATTTGAGTCGAGCGGCCCGGCAAACCAGATTAACTGGAGTTTTCCGGAAAAGGTAGTGACCGTTAACTACAATCGACTACAAGTCAGAAAGTTTCTGACTCGGTTGTCGCAAAACTGCACGTAAGGGAAGAATGCCAGGCAGAACGCAACAGGCAGAGGGGAGCGAGGGCAACGACGGCAACGAGGGCGACGAGGAATATGTGCAACGCGAGGGTTCGGACGGTGTGGTGGAAGCAAGGCTGACGACGCTGGAGCGCGAAGTACGGCGGGTGCGAAGGAGAGAAGCGGCGAAACCCTAAAGCAACAGCCTGGGAAGCGCAGCGGAAAAGAAGGGCTTTGGGGAGGGGGACGAGGTTTTCAAGGGTTGTTCGTTCCTTGGCGCTTGTTTGTACGCGATATGGTTCTTTCGTTGTTTTTGGAGTGCTGAGTCGTGGGAGAAACCATATTCGTGACCATTCCAGTTGGGTTTAGCTTCCCACATTTACAGCGATTACCATCCAGTTTAGGCACTCCAGAAACCTTTTCAGAGATTATAACTGCTTTGAGAACACAATTTAGTCACCAAGCTTTATAACATTTCTTCCTTAGCACACAACACTGTCGCCATCCACAGCCGCCTCAGGAGCAGCGGATGCAATAGAGATGAGGGGCGAGCCGGCAGCAAACATAAACGCCTCCTCCGCTGCCGCCAAACGCGCCCGCCTCTTCTCCCTCTGCTGCCGGAACTTCTCCCGGTTCCTCACCTTCCGCGAGTCGGGGTTCTCCTGCTTCTCCTCTGTCGCCGGGTACACACTCACCTGGAGGAGTGGGCAGAGTGAAGGGGACAAAATTGATCCTGTAGCCTACAACAATTTTCGCTAAGCGCCTAGAAAACGTTTTTGCTTCTCCCTCTGCTGCTGGAACGTCTCCTGGTTCCTGACCATCCAAAATTTGGGGTTCTCCTGCTTCTCCTCTGTCGCCGGGTACACACTCACCTGGGGAGATAGGGAGAGGGTTGTGAGTCAAGGGGGCGAATGCGATTCTGTACAGTGCATATGATGCTTGAGGCACCTAAGAAACTTTTCGTTTCTGCTTCTCCCCCTGCTGGCGGATCTTCTCCATGGTTTTTGAGCCTCCGGATGTCAGGGTTTTCCTGCTCCTCCTCCCTCCCTTCCCAACTACACACTCACCTGAGTAACTTAGGTGCAGGCATACGAGGGAGATTATGGGAGGGGCTGGGGAAGGTAGTGGCAGCCTAGTAAAGGATAACCGCAGAAGGATGCGACTGGCCCTAATTGGCTGAGCCCACCCAGACATATCTCACCCACCAACAGAGCCTTCCTAGTGCAAGCAGTCTTTCCCTCCCTCCATACCATCGGCACGTTCGAGGACCAGCAGATCCGCCAACATTCAGTGCCATCCGCGAAGTCCATTTCTCAACAAGTATTTCATATTCAGCTGAAACCAAAGCGTTAATCCGCGTTGGCTTGGCGAGTCATGTCATGGCATGCCAAGTCAGCGCGGAACAGCAAGCCTCGTGACTCCCTGCTACAACCTTGACCGATTTCTCCCAGGATTTGCCAAGAAATCACCCCTGATTGTCCTTTCACGCTCTCCCTCCACTGCACGCTCTTCCTGCTCTTCATCCTCTCCCTGCTGCACTTACCTTCTTCCTCTTGTCGGGGCCATACAGCTCGAACTTCACGAGGCCGTCCACTAGCGAGTACAGGGTGTAGTCCTTGCCCACGCCGACGTTGGTGCCCGCGTGGAACTGCGCACGGAGAAAACAAGATAAACACAGAAGAAACAAATCAGCCAGGCCGAAAGCGTGTGATGAGTCGGTTTTTGAGTCGACTCAAAAACCGACTCATCGAACTGCGCACGGAGAAAACAAGATAAACACAGAAGAAACAAATCAGCCAGGCCGAAAGCGTGTGATGAGTCGGTTTTTGAGTCGACTCAAAAACCGACTCATCGAACTGCGCACGGAGAAAACAAGATAAACACAGAAGAAACAAATCAGCCAGGCCGAAAGCGAGACGAAAGCCAGCCATCGAAGGGCGATAGAGTGTCTAAAACGATCAGGTAGGTACATTTGGGTCGACCCAAAGAGTGCTCTCAGAAAGCGTACTCAACAAAAAGAGATATTTTTGTTGCAATATCACATCTTTCTGTGATGAAGATGTCTTCAGACGTTCTAACAGAGCGCTCTCAAGGAGGGCACTGAACATGCGGAAGGCCCTCGAACGTTGTTACGGAGGACAAGAAAGCAGATTCGTCAAGCAGACGCCACATGAATGAATCTGCTTGAGATGGCCAAAGTCGCGTTGATTATTCGGTAAAAAGTCAGTGGTCCTTCACGTTGCCCTTAAGAAACCCTAGTGCACTACAGCCCGTTGACTCGGCATTAACTCGGGTCTGGGTCGGGCTTTCCAAGTTGACTCGGGGTTAGGCTATCTTGCGAGGCGTATTGTACTCGGCACGCAAACCCCTGGCTCTCAAAACGGTAATATTAAATACTAGCTACTGATTTTGAAGTTAATTAGAAAGCCACTAGGATTCTTTTAATGTCCCGCTTGGTCGCCATTCAATAAAATAGTGCTGGTACTGCCCTAGCCTATCCGCCTAACGCGCATTTACCGTTGTGCCACGTTGGCGAACGATAATGCTCCCTGCCTTGGCCGGCTGATCGCCGTACACCTTGACGCCTAGCCGCTTAGCCTTGGAATCGCGGCCGTTCTTCGTGCTACCGGATCCCTTCTTGTGCGCAGCCTCGATGGTCAGCGGCGCGCTGCGGGTGGTGGGAGCGAACGAAACCCTAGCGGAGGCGGCGGGGAGAGCCGCGCCGGAGAGAGCGGCGGAGCTGCTCAGAGAGGAAATGCTGAGCTTCTGGAACATGGACGAAACAGCCGCCATGGCTACGTGCTGCGCGGTGTGCGTCTAGGAACGAAAAACACGCGGAAATGAGAATGAACGAGGTGTGGGGGACAAGGGGGATCGGGTGAGGGAGAATGGGAAGGAGGCACGCGCGGGAGGGCACGGAGGCTGGAGTAGCAGCAGATAGGCTAGGCATAGTGGGGGAGAAGGGGGGGACAGAGGTGATGAGAGGGGCGGTTGAAGGGGATGAGAGGGTTCAAGTTGATGCAGTAACATGTGTCGCGAAAAAGGTTCCTGAGAGGCGGGGTGAATATGTTTTGCGAAGATGTTTTCGAAAATTCGAACTCCTCTTATTGGGTGCGCAGCATGGCGAAATCTGGGTAAAGCTTTGCCACGTCACGAGGGGGCTCAGGGTGTAACATAGAATCGATAACTGACGTGGCAGTTCTGGGTATGCACACGAATGCGACGGCCAGTTTTCAAGGTTTGGCATTGGGGACGTGGTAACATGCCACACACGGATTTTCGTTTTCTTTACTAAAGAGGCACAAGCTTTCGCCAACTATAAATTGTGTCTAGTTTCTTCGCTAGCCTAAATTCTCAAGCTCCCATTTCTCCTCCCAAGCTTCCAGCGTTTCCTTGGTGCGCAAACTACGCTGCAGCATATTCCATATTTTTATATGTGATCGCTGGTCAAACTTGATCGCGCAATCTCCAGTGTTGAGCAAAAGCAGGAGACCAAGAGTCAGTGACTTTCCGTTTTGACTCAGACTCCTTCCTTTTGATTTTCCAACGCAATATATGAATAGAGACTTACCACGTGTCACCGGCTCCTGAATGTTTGTACATACCTCCTTAGAAACGCGTCGAAAAGGTAGGTAGCCGGGAGTGTTGTCTAATCGTCTGAAACTGCTGCGTTCTTTTTAGAAAGATACGGGAATAATGCCAGCAGTTACCACATCGTTCGCGAGATCACTCGCACCATCTCGCCTTTCGTCATTCAGCTCCGCTGAGCTACAAGGCTCCAGCCATGGCAAAATGGAGCTCCCAAGCCTGTGCGATAGGCTCGGCCCAAGCCTGAAACTCAGCTGGAACAATAAAACAGCCAGCAGTAGGGTTGGCAACGAGTCGCGCATCGCGGAGACATCAAGACTCGCGGTCCGATGCATGGCGCAGCCGCGGCGCGTGCAGATGGTAGCGCAGCAGATCCACCGCGAAGTTGCGTCGATGCTTCTCAACGACACCACGCTGCGCGCCGCCGTGCAACCCGAGCACGCGCTGGGCGCCGACAAAGTCATGTCGGCCATCGCCACGATCAGTGACGTGGAGCTATCGGCGGACTTGCAGGTGGGTTCAGGGTGTTATATTCGACAAGTGGGTTCGGGGGACTATGTTTCGGCATGAAGCAAGCAAATCCCGGTTGCACGGTGCAACTTGCACAGACCACGCGCTGGGCGCCGACAAGGTCAGCCATAGCTACGATCAGTGACGTGGAGCTATCGCCCGATTTGCAGGTGAGTGTGGTTTACTCGTAGGTTCGGGGTGTTCAAATCGGGGTGCTCTGTTTAGGGTGCTCGGATGGCTGTTCGAAGACCCGAGCACGCGTTGTGTGCCATGGATGGGAAGTGATGAATCTGATATGGCAAGTGACATCATAACAATACACACCCACCTATCCCCCACCACTCCTTCAAAAAAATCGTCTATACGTTGTAACGCAGCCGCTCCGGTCCCTCACCACTCCTTCGCCAATCCCCCACAACGCCCCCCTCCCAACCTCAGGTGGCGAAGGTTTACGTGTCAGTGTATGGGGACGAGAGGGGGCAGGCGATAGCGATGGAGGGGCTGAGGGCCAAGGCGCCCTACGTGCGATCAGGTCTGGGCAAGAAGATGCGGCTGCGGTTCGCCCCTGAAGTGCGGTTTATTCAAGATGACTCCATGGAACGGGGAAGCAGGGTGAGTTGCTGCAATCTTTCCAATAAGCAGGGCAATCAGTCAGTTATAGGTGTTAGTGCTTGAAGTGAGGTTCATTCAAGATGACTCTATGGAGAGGGACAGCAGGGTGAGTTGATGCACTACCCTGTTTATTAAGGGTAATTTGTCATTCATTGGTGTGTACGTGCCATCGGGGCTGGGCAAGAAGATGCGGCTGCGGTTCGCACCTGAAGTGCGGTTCATTCAAGATGAGTCTATGGAGCGAGGCAGCAGGGTGAGTTGGCGCAATACCCTCTATAGTTAGGGAAGTTGGTCAGTTTAGGTGTATACCTGCAGTCGGGGCTGGGCAAGAAGATGCGGCTGCTGTTTGCTCCTGAAGTGAGGTTCATTCAAGATGACTCCATGGAGCGAGGCAGCAGGGTGATTTCCCACACCATGCTTTTTATATGCTTGTCAGTGCAGGTTATGAACGAATTACAGGTGCTTACAACAATTCAGGAGAATGTGTACGCCCAAGTCTGCTTTTGAGGTGACTCAAAAGCCCAAGACTGCACTGCCCAACTCAAGAGTAGGGCGAGTTCAATGTGCTCTTGCCTCATACATGGCATCCCTTCACAACCCCTGAACTCCAGAACCCCTAAACCCCTAAACTCCTAAACCTCTTATGTTTCGAAACCCTTCAACCTTGAAACCTTGAAACCCCTAAGGCAGCAATATACATTTGACAGCGGGGTTCAGGGTTTTACCTTGTGCCTCACGATTTCGGTCCCACCATGTACCATTTATGATCTTTTGGCACTCGCCCTGCCAAATGTATACTGCCGCTGTAAACCCGAAACCTTAAAATTCTTAAACCCCGACCCGCACTCACTCTCCAGGAGATCCACTCGTCCTCTCCTTCCATTGACCCCTCAGAGCCCGGAAACCCAGATTCTGTTACCACTCAAACTCTGTAGTAACCATAGGTGTGACTGGTAAACCGGAGATACCGCACCATTGTGCCTATCCTGCCCTGCCCTCACACCTCATGATCTATCCTTCCTCCTTTTCACTCGTGTTTCTTCTCCTCTCCCTCCCTCCCCCCCTCCTACCTCCCCTAATCTCCCCTCCTCTTTATCCCTTCCCCTCCCTCCCTCCCTGCTCTTACCTCCGTCATATGCCGAAAACCCGAAATAACTCTCCATCCTCTCACGTCTCAAAGCACTCACTTATCGGATTACCATCACCTCATCAAATCCCTCCCCACCCCTTTGCGTTCCTTCCTTTCCACCCTCCCACCTCCCTATCCCCCTGCAGGTACTCTCCATCCTCTCACGTCTCAAAGCAGAGCAGCAGGCTCGGGAACGCGGCGAGCCTCTCCCGCCAAACCTGTCCCCCATAGCTTCGGGTGGTTATGATGACGAGGATGAGGAGGAAGAGTTAGGGCGGGCTGTGAGAGCACAGAGAAAGCCTAAGAAGGGGCAGGTGGAGGGGGGGTTGGGTGGGAGAGGAGGTGGGCAGGGGAAGGGGCAGGGGAAGGGAGGGAAGAAGGGGCCGGGGAGGAGGTGGGAAGGAGACGATGGGGTGAGGCTTGAAGATTTTGGGGAGGATGAGAAGGTGTTTTTAGTTGAGTGAGTGTGATGGGTTGTGATTGTGCTACGGGATTTGACTTTGAAGGAGGTAATACGGATTTCATGGATGTTCTGCTGAAATGCCAGAGGTGGCCTGGTGTATGGCGTTGCGAATGCAGAAATACGGTATGCTTATCAATACGGTATATGTCAAGATATTACTGTAATACGCACGGGCGAATATATTGTCTTGAACGACAGGCTGCTGAAGCCTGAAGCTTAAACACTGAACCACCCTTCCTAGTTCGGTCCAACTTGAAGACAGGCCAACATCAATCATACTTCAACGCACACCAATCATGCTAACCATACACAGGATTGGTAATAGTGCTTCCTTGCAATGTTGTTGAACCTCCTGTTTCAGCCACCCCTGCTCTAAATCCAACCTTCCACTCCACCTAACCCTAAACCCTAAATCCAGCCGCCTAATGAACAGCCCAGCAGTTGCAAACCGCAACCAATGCAGCAAGAGAAGTGCCCTCATGCCGCCCCTCTATCTCAGGCACATGCACTCCACACCTCCACCCTGATTCTATTGCTTCAGGCCCCCTCCTCGTTACTGCCTAAATGCTCTTATGACTCAAGCCGCTACGGTTCTTCTACGGTCTACCTAGCACACCCTCTCCACCTGTCCTTACCCCTCACCACCTGTCTTTAATCAACCCCTGCCTGTGTATGCCCTTGCTCCTCCATGACTCCTTTCCTCTCCCCTTCTCCTTTGCCCCTATCACCCCCACTCTTTCCCTCTCCCTCCTCACCTCATCTCCCCTTCCCCTCATTCCTGCTGCACGAGCTTTACCCCCCCTCTCTCCATCCTCTCCCCCCTCTCCCTCCTCTTCCTCATCTCCCCCTCTTCCCTCCTTTTCCTCCTCTTCCCCTCTCTCCTTCTCTCGGCCCGTTCTCTTATCACCCTCACTCTCTTCCCCAACTGCACTCCCGACAGGCACCCACCTAGACCCATCCACTCTCCCACTCTCCCTCCCCCACCTGGCCACCCCCACCCACTTCCTCTCTCCCTCATTCTCCCCTTTCCGCACTCCTCTAGTCTCTCCTCTCCCCACACCTCTCCCCACTCCTCTTTCCCCTCCTCTTTCCCCTCCTCTCTCCCATCCTCTCTCCCCTCCCTTTCTCCCCACTTCCACACTCATAGCATTAGATTTAACTCTACCCCCACTCCCCACTGCTTGCCCATTTGCCCGTTTCCAAACCCCCGGCACAACCCTACTGTTCCGACCCTTCTCCCTTTCCCACCCCTCTTCCTCCTCCTCCTCTTCCTCTTCCTCCTCATCTTCCTCTCCCCATTCCTCCTCATCCTCGCTCTCCCACTCACTCTCCTCATCACTCCCTCCCCTCCCATTCCCTTCCCTCTCCCCTCTCCCCACTTCTCCCCTCCTCATCCTCCTCCTTCCATCCTCCATAAGAACTCTCATCTCCTCTATAGCATCTGCCAGCTCATCACTCATTATAAGCACCTCCCCTTCATAAGCCTCCCGCAGAAACACCGAATCCCGCACCCCTTTCACCGAAACATAAAAAACCTCCGGGTGCCGCAGCAGCAGCGCATATATCCTCGCGGGCAGCAGAAAATCTTTCCGAAAGTGCGTCAGCTGGTCGATCAGGCACCGCTTTTCCACGGTCAGCGAAAGAAACTCCCGAATCACGGCAACTGCCCGCCTCTCGGCTTCCATTGATTCCGGCGATATCCCCAGCTCGAGCGGGTTTGCATAGGGGGATATTTGGGGGGAGGAATGGAACCTCTGTAGCCGGAGCAGGTCAGATTGCTTCAGCTTCAGACCGGGGGGTAGGTTGAGTTTCAAGCTCAGCCGAACGGCTTTCTTGTACCGCTGCTCCCGACTGCTGCTGCTGCTGCTGCTGCTGCTGCCAGCAGTACCGGCACCACTGGCAACACCACTGCTAGTCCCTTCCTGCTCAGCACTGGTTTTCCCGGTGATATAGGCCATGCGGCTGGTCTCTGCCTTGTGCCGCCCCAACCCGATGGCTGCCTCTGCTAGCTGCTCCGGCGTCAAGGAGGGCTTGGGGGGAGGGAGCTGCGTGCCTGGAGAGACTGGTGGGACTTGAGCAGCTTGGGTGGCTAGGGTTTGTTGGGGGGAGTCTGATGGCGCCGCCGGGTCGCAGGCCAAAACAGGACCAAGATGAGGCTTTCTGAATGATGCCGCTCCTTGTGTTTCTTCTGACCCTTGCTCCTCTTGCTCCTCCTCTTCCCATCTCTCCTCGACCCATTTCTCTCCTCCTCCCCGACTCTCCATCTCCTGTTTCTGTGACTGGTGCTTGCTGTCCTTGCGTTCTCTCTCGCCTTCTTGCCCCTCTCCCTCTCCTCCCTCTCTTTCTCCCCCTCCTTCTCCCCATCCCTCTTCCCACCCCTCGTCCCATCCCTCTCCAAATCCCGCCCCTTGCCCCTCATGCCCGCCCTCTTCGCCTTTACTGCTACCCACACCAGACACCTCAACACTCTCCCTACCCTCTTGCCCCTCTCCCTCCTCCTCCTCCTCCTCCTCCTTCTCCTCCTCCTTCTCCTCTTTCCCTTTCTTGGCCTCTCCCTCCTCTTCCTCCTCACCCTTCTCCTTCTCTTTCTCCTCCTCCTTCTCCTCCTCCCACTCCTCCTCGACCTCCTCATCCTCCTCCTTCTCCTCCTCCTTCCTCCTCTCCTCCCCACTCTCCCCCTCCCCCTCATTATCCCCATCCCCCAACACACCTCCAACCCCTTCTCTCCTAACCATCCCTCCGTGTGCCCTCCCTCCCGCTGCTGCTGCAGCACCACCAGCACCACCATCCCCCCAACCACCAGCAGCAGATTCCCCACCCCCCCCTCCCCCACCACCACAATCAGCAGCAGAACCACCACCACCAGCACTAGCAGCACCAGCAGAGGCAGCAGAAGCACACGCATAGGGAGAGCTTTTGATACTAGCAGCACGGGAGGCAGCAGCAGCAGCAGTGTCACTCTTGATACCATTCCCTCCCCCCTCACCTGCCACAGCCTCACTACCCTCTTTCTGCACCTCTTCCCAAGCCTCTTCCCGAACCTCTTCCCGAGCCATTGCTGCTGCTTCGTTCGCCTCTGCCACTGACAGAGCCAGGCGATCGTCCCATTGCTGCAGCACCAGCACCGGCCCCCCCGCTCCAGCAGCAGCAGGGGTACCCGGAGGGGCTGCTGGAGGGGTGGCCACTCTGAAGCGATCGGAGAAGCGCGGCAGAAAGGACTGGGCATGGACAGGGGAGAGGGGAGAGAAGAGAGATGGGGTTGAGTCGAGAAGGGGAATTCGTCTGTTACTCATCCCACTGTTGCAGCACCAGCATTGCCCCTCCAGCAGCAGCAGCCGGGATACCCGGAGGGGCTGCTGGAGGGGTGGCTACTCTGAAGCGATCTGAGAAGCGCGGCAGAAAGGACTGTATGGGAGCACAGAGGGAAGGGGGGAGAGAGGAGAGGGGAGTAAAAAGGCGGGCTTGAGTTGGAAAGAGGAGTCACGGACAGCGCCAGGCGATCGTCCCACTGCTGCAGCACCAACACCGGCCCACCAGCAGCGGCAGCAGCAGGGGTTCCCGGAGGGGCTGCCGGAGGGGTGACCACTCTGAAGCGATCGGAGAAGTGCGGCAGGAAGGACTGTATTCGTACTTGATCGCAAGAACTGTAGGTGTGAGAGAACTCTGATCACAAGAATTCCTTAGCTAAGAGAACTCTGATCGCAAGAACTGTATTCACTCAACCAGAACAGGTCGCAAACATGTTTCGGCAAGGCGGGAGAACCCGTCAAGCCTTTCATCAGTGCTTCTGAACAGCGCTCACCGTTTTGAAGTCCTCTGGAAGGCGTGTTTTGAGACGTCTCAAAACGCTCACCGTTTTGAAGTCCTCTGGAAGGCCCAGCTCTCTGCGCACGTGCCCAACACTCTCCACACTGAGGGACTGCGTTGCTGACATCATCAGCAGCTTGCACAGCTGCAGTAGATGGTGGGAGGCAACGCGAAGGTGGGGAGGGGAAGAAGGGTAGGGGGATGGTTGTGGGGGGGAAAGGGGTGCACGCACAGCCGTGCTCTCCACACTGAGGGACTGCATGCTGACATCATGAGCAGCTTGCAGAGCTGCAGTGGTAGGTGGGTAGAAGAGGGGAAGATGCAGAGGGGAAGAATGAAAGAGGGCTTGTTGTGGAGGAGAGAGCGGGTGCAGGAGCTGTCAAAAGAAGACAGGTGGGCTGCGGAGGCCTTACTTCCATCAACTCGTGTTGAAAGAGGGCTTGTTGTGGAGGAGAGAGCCGGTGCAGGACAGACAGCACAAAAGGTTGACCAAGAGAGGGGGTGTTCCGAAGCACAGCAGTGCTCGTGTAGAAAGTAGATCTTTGAGACGTGGGTGCAACGAGCACTGCTGCTGCTCGTCTCAAAAACCTACTTTCCACACGTGGGTGCAAGGACAGCACAGCACAAAAGGTTGGTGTTCTGAAGCACAGCAGTGGTCGACACTCGAGAACTGCGTCGCTGAGCCATTGGGAAAACATCATTAGAAGCTTGCTCAGCTGCAGCAGTTGGGAGAATATGTTGCCCGCACAGCACCCCTGTCGTGCAATGCACACACCCAACTGCACCGCATCACATACACCTCATCTCACCTCATCTCACCGCACTGCACCTCACCTTATCCACTACCAGGGGTTTCATGATGGCCCCCAGCTCCCTCTCCCTTGCATCCCTCCTTGCCACCTCTGGAGTCAACTCGGACCAGATGTTGCCCGCAACCCTGTTGTTTGTACCATGCACACACCCCATTGCACTGCGTCACACACCACACCACTGCATCACACAGCGTCTCGCCGCATTCCACCACATTGCACCGCACCTTATCGACGAGAATGGGTTCCATGATGGCTCTCAGCTCCCTCTCCCTCGCATCCCTCCTCGCTGCCTCTGGAGTCAACTCGAACCAGATGTTGCCCGCACCCTTATCGTACACTCGGAATATGGATGGGAACCTGATGGGCGTGGGGGATGGAAGGGCCGAGGGGAAGGGAAGAAGAGGGGCCAAAGAGGGAAAGGGAAGAAGAGGGGGCTAGGCATTAACTCCCAAAAGCTCAAACCAGATGTTGCCCGCACCCTTATCTTACACTCGGAATATGGATGGGAATCTGATGGGTGTGGAGGGTTGGGGAAGGAGTCGGCAGTAGGGTAGGGCCAGGCGGAATGGACACTTTCCATTGGAAAGGGGACGAGGTACTGAGCATGCATGCAGTCAGCTCAAACCATGTGTTGCCCGCACCCTTGTCATACACTCGGGATATTGAGGGGAATCTGATGGGCGTGGGGGCAGAGGGTGGGGATGTGTACGGGAAGGGAGAGGGTGGGGATGTGTGCGGGAAGGGAGAGGGTGGGAAGAGGAGGGCATTCATTCAGTCCCGCTAGTCCAGCTAGTCCAGCTAGTCCAGCTAGTCCAGCTAGTCCAGCTAGTCCAGCTAGTCCAGCTAGTCCAGCTAGTCCAGCTAGTCCAGCTAGTCCAGCTAGTCCAGCTAGTCCAGCTAGTCCAGCTAGTCCAGCTAGTCCAGCTAGTCCAGCTAGTCCCGCTAGTCCAGCTAGTCCAGCTAGTCCCGCTAGTCCAGCTAGTCCAGCTAGTCCAGCTAGTCCAGCTAGTCCAGCTAGTCCAGCTAGTCCAGCTAGTCCAGCTAGTCCAGCTAGTCCAGCTAGTCCAGCTAGTCCAGCTAGTCCAGCTAGTCCAGCTAGTCCCGCTAGTCCAGCTAGTCCAGCTAGTCCAGCTAGTCCCGCTAGTCCAGCTAGTCCCGCTAGTCCAGCTAGTCCCGCTAGTCCCGCTAGTCCAGCTAGTCCAGCTAGTCCAGCTAGTCCCGCTAGTCCAGCTAGTCCAGCTAGTCCCGCTAGTCCAGCTAGTCCAGCTAGTCCAGCTAGTCCCGCTAGTTCAAACGAAATGTTGCCCGCACTGCTGTCATACACTTGGGATATTGAGGGGAATTTGTTGCTGTAGTGGTGGTGGTGCTGCACCCACCCACACACTCAATCACACTCACTCACTCCCACTCACTCAAACACACTCACTCACAGTCACACTCACCTGCGAATGAGAGCTACACATCTTCGCCCTCCAGACAGCCCAATCTTGTTCCGATGCTTCCCCACTAGAGTTGTGCGGCTGTGTTGAGAAAGTTCAAGGAGCCTAAACTGAGTTGTGTGGCTGTGTTGAGGGAGTTCAAGGAGCACACACACCTACCACCCAATCCCGCACTCACTCCCTCTTTCCCACTTCCACTCACCTGCGAATGAGAGACACACATCTCCGTCCCCCAGACAGCCCAATCTTGTTCCGATGCTTCCCCAGCTCCTTGAGACTCATGCGCCCGCCATCCTGCCAGTTAAAAAGGGACATGACGTGTACTCATTAGCGAGTCAGCAAGTAAGCAACAAGAAAGAGCTCTTGTTTCTGCCGATGCTTCCCCAGCTCCTTGAGACTCATGCGCCCGCCCTCCTGCCAGAAAAAAGGAAGGCAGCGCAATTCTAGGCTCATTAGCGAGTCTGCTACAAGGGGGGCCCACCAGTTTCTACACTCATCACATCACACTCAAGTATTTAGATCAACAAGTGACCGCCCAGCTCCTTCAGACTCTCAACAAGGTAACTAGTACTCCACATAGTTGCGTGCTCTGTAGTATATTGTAGCATAATGAAGAAGCCGAGTATGCGAATTGGGTGCTCAAGCCCCCCTGCCGATTTCTCCACATGATTATGACCATGCAGTGAGCCGTGCTTCCTTCATCCCGGTGCTGTTTTTTGAGGCGCCTGAAAAATCTCTCCACATGGATGTGATGCGACCACCAAGTGAGTGAGCCATGCCTCATTTCTCCTTTGAGAATTCTCAGAAGTCACACTAATAGTGCTTGCTTGCCTGCTCCTTCCTTTCTTTAAGTGAGGGTCTACTGCCATTGACACGCATTGACCACCGTTGACCAGCGTTGGCCCATCGCTCACCTGCTTCCCCAGCAGCTCCTGAATGCGCTGCACGATGCGGAACTTCTTGTTCCTCTCTATCACCGCATCCAGCCGTGGCTCCTTCCGCCGCTTCACCTTGCACTCCACCACTCGCCGCTGCCGGGTCTGGTGATTAGAATTGGGGGGGGGAAGAGGGGGAAGGGGGGAAGGGGGGACGGGGAACAAGGGATGGGGAGCAGGGGACGGGGCAGGAAGTGGTGCTTCAATCACCGCATCTAGCCGCGGCTCCCACCGCCGCTTCACCTTGCACTCCACCACTCGCCGCTGCCGGGGCTGATAATTAGGGGGGGGGGGGGGGGGGGGGGGGACGGGGAACAGAAGATGGGGAGCAGGGCACGGGGAAGGAGAGGGTGCTTCAATCACCGCATCCAGCCGTGGCTCCTTCCGCCGCTTCACCTTGCACTCCACCACCCGCCGCTGCCGGGGCTGGTGAATTGGAAGGGGGGCCGGGGAAGGGGGGACGGGGAAGAAGAGGGTGCTTCAATCACCACATCCAGCCGTGGCTCCCTCCGCCGCTTCACCTTGCACTCCACCACCCGCCGCTGCCAGGGCTGGTGGATTGGAAGGGGGGCCGGGGAAGGGGGGCCGGGGAAGGGGGGACGGGGAAGGGGGGACGGGGAAGGGGGGACGGGGAACCGGGGCGGGAAGGGGGAAGGGGGACATGGGACGGGGAAGAAGAGGGTGCTTCAATCACCACATCCAGCCGTGGCTCCCTCCGCCGCTTCACCTTGCACTCCACCACTCGCCGCTGCCGGGGCTGGTGGAAAAGAAAAGGGGGGAGGAGTGGTTGTAGGGGAGGAGGAGGGGAAGGATATGGTGTGTTAGCCAACGCACAAGGCTCCCGCCGCCGCTTCACCTTGCACTCCACCACACGCCGCTGCCGGGGCTGATGGATAAACAAGCGAGGTGCGGTCGGTGGGAGGGAGGGCAGGGGTGGGAGAGGTAGGGGTTTAGGCGAGGGGAGAGGGTGCATTAGCCATCAGGTCATGTCTTAGGCGACTTCGATGGTTCGCGCTTCCCCTTCAGCTTGCAATCAACCACACGTTGCTTCAAAAGTTTGAGGGTCAGGGGTGCGGGTTCAGGGTTCAGGGTATAAGATTTTTCTTGTCCAAGGATTCATATGGAATTTCTTGCAGGGCAAGATGGAGATAGGTGCCGTTCCATCGCCCAAACAAACTGCTACCTGCCTCGAACCATGATAACAACCATGTCCCTTTGTTCCAAGGCAGAAGAAGACTTTGAAGAGTTTCCAACACCAACTTAAACCTTTCTGCTCGTTTCTCACAAACGAATATTCTCTCCGCAACCCGCCCGCCCTTGCTTGCTCGTCTCCGCAAGAAGAGTGTGGAAAATGCGACGATTTCGGAGGGGTATGCAAGGGCAATATAGATCGGATTCTGAAACATGAGAATAGTCACGAACGTTGGGCTTGGACTCGAGCGTTGGGCCACGACTCGGTGTCGTTCCCGTTTTGACAGTGTGTCCCTTCCTACCTCTTTTCGCATGCCTCCTCGTGGCGGGCGGTGATACGTCAGCGCGTCGCTCGACGAGTCGCCACGCAGCAGACTGGACGATCCGAACGACATGCTTCTCGCCGACGATCCGAACGAAGCGCCTGTTGCTGATGATCGAAGCGACATGCGACGAGTCGCACTACTCGTCGCACAGCGCGTCACCGAGAATGGGCGGGCTACGATATGTCGCGACGCGTGGAACCCGCGCCGCGGAGCCTGATGCCAGCATGCTACCATAGCGGTTTTATCGCCGCCTTTACCGACGGCGTTTCCCCCGCCGACGATCAAACTTGCGTGCTCAAACGACCGAATCTCCATTCGCCCATTTCCAGATAATGTATTTGCTACTGGCCCGATCGCGCCTCCAGCATGACTCGCACCGCCGTGACTGGCGCACGGGAAAGATACGCGAGCCATCGACATAGTAGTTAATCTCCTCGCGCCTCGATCTCCCCAGATCCGTGCGCTTGGCGACTTGCTGTGGCACTTGCCGCTGCAGTTAACTACTCCGCCGCCTATTGTGTAGAGACTATTGGAGCGAGTAGGCGCAGCCGCTCCGCGGATCGCGGCTGTAGTGCGTAGCGGCCATCCGGCAGAAATTCCCCCTCCGCCGGTGATCGCGCGTGGAAGTGCAGCTGGTTGAAAGGCGCACGGACAGGCGGGCATGACGGGGGGAACAGCGCACGGGCAGGGGGGAAGGATGGCGGCTGCCGGTGCCCGCCAGGCTGCGCGCCAAGTGGACGCGGGGAGAGCGGCGCGTGCAGTTGCTAAGCAGACGGAGCAGCGGAGGAGGCGGGAGAACGCGGAAGAACGAGCGGAAAACATTCAAGGAGACGGGATAAAGTTCACTTGGTCAAATAGATATACACGGGGCGACTCACGCCTGGATGTATTCTAGGGATTAACTAATGTAATAGACTGACTAATCAGGGCGCATGCGTATACATGTTCACGTAGTTCTAGGATCCCGATTAGACGTGTAGGATAACTCGAGGTGTCCACAAAGAAGGGTACGTGCTTCGGTAGCCTCCAAGCCCTAGTATCTCCCAGGTTCAGAAATTATATCTCAGGTTCGACAAACTGAGAGAGCCTAGAATCTCGGGTTTCAATCTGAGCGTTGGTTTACTTGAAATGGACGAGTCTCCATGGCCTAGATACTGCCGCCGAGATGGCTCCGTGCTCGAGGCAGAACGAGAGCATTGATCTCCCCAGAAGTGGGATTGCTGACATTCTTTGGAAGCAAGCCGTATTCGGTACTCCATTCTTCGAGACATTCTATTTTGCTGATTTGCAGGCAAGACTGGGTCTCAGATCTTCAAAGCGTTTGCAGTACGTCCCGAGACTCTGTCGTCGCACAAAAGATGTCGTTATTAGGGAAACTAAAATTGATACCACATCTCCCATGCGAAACTACCCATCGAGTTGGAGAATAAAGAACAGGCCCTCAACGACGTGCTCGGCAAATCCGCCGAACCTAGACATTCACGATTTTACCTCTCGAGCAAGGAGCCGCGCCAGGTACCCAAACCTCCCCAACAATCTCAACTAGCCGTTGAGTCAAACTCGCGCCTTCTACAGTTGATTGATCCTTGAGAAGCGTACAAAGCATAATCGTACCGTTTCGACCTATAACAAAACTTTCATTATTGAAGTAATGTAAGGAATTTTCTCGGCATTCCTTACGGAGCCGACTACATCGCGTACAGCAACAGCCGATTGTTCGCCCGTTACTGCTAACGGAACTTCGCCGACTTCGCGCGCACTGTTTTGCCAAACCTCGCACTGCTGGCATGGCCGCATCGGCCTACGCTTCGGGACTAGCCCGAGCCTCGCTCCAGCGTAGCACTAGCCAGCTCGCACGCACCGCGTTACCGTTTTGCATGTTTCGCGTATAAATGTTCGCTCATGCCTTCGCTCACATTTTGTACTCGTTTGACACCTTAGTGCAATTCTCGCTACCTCGATTCATTGCACCCGTAACACTTGGTTATCAGAGCCCCTTTCTTTTCGGACCGCGCATCTCCGCACACCAGGAAATCAACTTTTGATTTTTTCACTCGAAGGGACTCACGCACCTTAGCCCCTAGGAGCCGCTGTCCTCGCGTTCTCTCGTAAACCCGTGCAGCCACGACTGCGCCTAGACTAAGACGAGCCGACGCCCTTCGTCATGGCCGAAAACATCGACGTCACCTCTCTCACGCAGGAGCGTTTGAACGATCTGCTGCGACAACTGCACGAAAGCTCCGAGGAAATCGCGGCATTGACGGCAGAACGCTCATCACTGCAAAATGACCTCCTGAGAGCACAATCTCAAGCACCTGGCACTCCGATTCAACCCGCACCCTCAACATCACAACACGGGAGTGTGGGGCAACCCGCGAGCGCGGCCAGTGATGGCGTCGTCCGCCCCGACGGAGACGACGACCACGGCACGACACACCCCAGAGCGACGCCTGCGGCCCCAAGTCAGCCTCGCGTCACGATTTCGGCACCAACCCACGATTCGGGACTGCCGTCACCGATGCCGCTGAAGCCACAGCGCCCGCCATGCTTTGACCCGAGTCAACGGGGTGGTCCTACCGTCCAGGCGTGGTTGTTCACAATGAATGTTTTCTTCGACGCCAACTACGTCTCGGAGGACTCGGCGAAGATTCGATACGCCGTGTCGTTGCTGCGAGGACCCGCCATGGACTGGTGGCGCGTCATCGTCACGAAGCCGACCGACTACGCGACACTACCGACACGGGAAGGACAAACCGGACCCTGGGCGCCGTCGTATTTCGTGGAGGTGCCCCAGTATCGCACGTGGGACGCGTGGTGCGCAGGTCTGCGCGCTCGATTTGAGCCAATCGCGGCCTCGATCTCGGCGCGACAGAAGCTCCGCACTTGGCGCCAACTCGGTTCCGTCCAGGATTACACGAGCGGATTTCTGGCGCTATGCGAGCAGGTGGGCTACATGCATGAGAGCGAACGCATCGACCGCTACATCGGCGGCCTGAAGCAGGACATCGCTCAGGAAATCCAGCTTCGCGGCGTCACCGAATTTCAGGAAATTCTCGCTATGGCGGAGAAGCTCGACTTCTTTCGCCGACCGAGACCGGGGTTCTACGGGAACAACAACTGGGGACATCGGCCTCGTGGGACGAACGAAAGCGCCACGATACGCGCCGTCGCCGCAAATGCCGCTGCCGCACCGTTCAAAGGGCGCTGCTTTGCGTGCAATCGGCCGGGACATCGCAAGAGCGAATGCCCGGAAAACGCTAGGGGAAAGGGGGAAGCTGAGCAGCAGACACAGACCAAGCAGCAGGGAAACGCTGGAAGTCAGTAGCAGACGGGCCCTCTACTGACAGGTCACGCCGCTCGCCCGACCCAACCGACCCTCACCGAGTGATTGTGCCGGTCCACGCAATCGACCACACCCGGCCGAATAAGGAGGGTACCACGGTAGACAGCCCTATACTGCTCAGTGGGAAAATTGGGACGGACTTAGTTAAAATCTTCGTAGACGGGGGAGCCAGCCACAGCCTCATTAACACTGCTACAGCACGAAAACTGCGACTGCCACTGGACCGATGCTTACCTGAGATCGACGCACGACTGGTAGACGGCACGCCACTGGCAATACGGGAACGCGTAGACCGAGTTCGGATTCGATGCGGGGGTAACTTCACGTTTAGCCAGGAAATGCTCGCAACGACCCTCGACGGAACCGACATTTTACTCGGGCGTGATTGGCTGCGACGACACAATCCGCGAATTGACTGGACGACGGGTGACTGCACCGTGCGAGTCAACGGTAACAACATCGCCTTACCTCGCTGGGGCTCGCCTGAGCCTTCGTCGGTGCGTGTCAATGCGATCACGATGAAACGCGCTGTAGCGGCCGGAGCTGACGTGTACGCGGTTGACATTCGGGAAGCCGACGCAGCAGACAAGGGGGGCGATTTACAGAAACTGCTGACCGACGTACCGAGTGACCTGGCGGCACTGTTAAAACAGTACAGTGACATTTTCCCGGACGACCTGCCGACGGGACTGCCACCTCAGCGACCGCACGATCACAGGATAGAACTGGAACCGGGGGCACAGCCAACAGTACAGCGACAGTTCCGACTGACCCAACCCGAACTAGACGAACTGAGGAAGCAGCTCGATTACCTGCTCGAGAAGGAATTCATTCGCCCTAGTTCGTCGCCCTTCGCCGCACCCATACTGTTCACACCGAAAAAAGACGGGGGATTTCGCATGTGTATCGACTACAGGGCACTGAACAGGGTTACCATTAAATCCCGTTACCCCATCCCACGAGCCGACGAACTGATCGACCAACTGCGCACAGCACGGGTTTTCTCCAAAATTGACCTCCGGGGAGGCTACCACCAAATCCGCGTTAACCCACCCGACTGCCCTAAAACCGCATTCCGAACACGCAATGGATCCTTCGAATACACCGTCATGCCATTCGGATTGACCAACGCCCCCGCCACCTTCCAAATGACCATGAACGAAGCATTCCGCCCGCTTTTAGATAAGTGCGTCATCGTTTATCTGGACGACATACTGATTTACAGCCCGGACAGAGCACAGCACTTACACGACATCGAAGCAGTTTTTAAAATCCTCAGTGAGAACCGCCTACTGACCAAAGCATCTAAGTGTGAATTTTTACAGGACCGCCTGGAGTTTTTGGGACATGTTATTTCAGCTGAGGGAGTGGAAATAGACCCGAAGAAAATTGCGACGATTCAGGCTTGGCACGCGCCGACCAACTTGACCGAGTTGCAGAGTTTCCTAGGGTTCGTCAACTACGTGCGCCGGTTCGTCCCCGACATGGCGAAGTTGACTGCCCCGTTGACCGACCTGCTGAGGAAGGGGGTTGAGTACACGTGGGGGGAGAAAGAGCAAGCTGCCTTCTCGGCCCTCAAAAATATTTTGTGCTCCCCGCCCGTCCTTCACATTGCAGATCCCCACCGTCCGTTCGAACTCGTCACCGACGCAAGTGACATCGCCGTGGGAGCAGTACTGTTGCAGGACTTCGGGAACGGCCTCCAGCCAATCGCGTACGAGTCCCGCAAACTGCACCCGCCCGAACGTAACTACCCGATACACGACCGTGAGATGCTAGCGATCGTGCACGCGTTCAAAGTTTGGCGGTGTTACCTGACTGGCGCCGACGTGACAGTACGGACAGACCACCGCTCGCTACAGTACCTTCGCGCTCAACCGAATCTCAACCCACGACAGATTCGCTGGTTGGACTATCTCGAGTCCAATTTTCACTACACCGTCACGTACAAAAAAGGAGCATCCAACATCGCCGACGCTCTCACCCGCCCCACCGCTCAACTCCACGCCATCCTACTCGCCCAGACCAACCCGCTTTTAACTGGCCTATTCACCCACGGATACCGCACCGACCCATTTTTCACGACCGGAAATTCACAGCAACTGGCAGAAGCAAAAGGAGTCTATTACGTAAAAACAGGCACCAACCGCATTTGGGTACCCGCGTACTCACTACTGAGGGAGCTGCTACTGCAGGAGGCACACGACGGGATTACCTCGGGACATTTCGGGGTCGAAAAAACGCGACAGCAACTGCAGCGGTATTATTATTGGCCGGAGCTGTTGACCGACGTACAGCAGCACGTGGGCTCGTGCCCGACGTATCAGGTGATGAAGAGTTCAAGGAAGCGGAAGGCGGGTCAATTGCAGCCGATCCCACCGCCCGAACGCGCTTGGCAGCAAGTAACCATGGACTTCGTCACAGGGTTACCTTCGAACCCTGGGGGTAACGACGCGGTGATGGTCGTCGTGGATAGGCTGACGAAGATGGCACACTTCGCTGCGTGCAAAAAGTCGATCTCAGCCGAGGAGACCGCTCGCCTGTTCATCGCAGCCATTGTTCGCCTGCACGGGATACCAGCAGCAATTATCAGCGACAGGGACACGAAATTTACCAGCAACTTCTGGAAGAACCTCTGGGAGCAGTTCGGGACCAGGCTACAGTTCAGTTCGTCGTACCACCCCGAGACCGACGGCCAAACGGAGCGGACGAATCAGACGATGGAGCAGTTGATTCGTGCCACGTGCGACGACCCCACGACCTGGGAGCAGCAGTTGCCGCTGATCGAGTTCGCGTACAACAACGCCACATCAGCCACGACGCAGCAGTCCCCGTTCTACCTGAACTATGGGCAAAACCCCACAGTGCCCATGACGCCGAGTCCGGACAACCCAACGCCACGTGCACAACAATTCGCCGAAATCCTGCAAGCTGCCCGCGCCAGAGCCGCCGAAGCAATAAAAAAGGCCAACGTCATCGCTAAGCGCAACGCTGATCGCCACCGCCGCCCCGTCACGTACCAATCTGGAGATTACGTGCTGCTCGACACGCAAAATCTGCGACTGCCCGACGTACCAAAATTACGACCGCGCTACTGTGGACCCTTCCAAATCAGTCATATGATCACACCCGTCACCGCGCACCTACTGTTGCCAACCGACTGGTACATCAGCCCTTCGTTCCACGTCAGCCTACTTCGCCCATACATCCCGACCACAAGTCAACTGCCGCGTCACCGGCCACAATCAATGACTCGCCCTACATCAGAGCCGATCATCGAGCCCGAAAAAATTCTGAGCCATCGGATCCGCCACCCCACGGGAATCAAGAGGATTGAATTCCTCGTTCGCTGGAAAGACCGCACGCCAACTGAAGATAGCTGGGTGCCCCTGAGCAACATCGAAAATCACCCTGCCCTGCAAGTGTACCTGAGGAGCCGGGGATTCCGCGATATACACACACTCGCGTAGCGGAGGGGGCTTCTTGAGGGGGGGGGTAGTGTAAGGAATTTTCTCGGCATTCCTTACGGAGCCGACTACATCGCGTACAGCAACAGCCGATTGTTCGCCCGTTACTGCTAACGGAACTTCGCCGACTTCGCGCGCACTGTTTTGCCAAACCTCGCACTGTTGGCATGGCCGCATCGGCCTACGCTTCGGGACTAGCCCGAGCCTCGCTCCAGCGTAGCACTAGCCAGCTCGCACGCACCGCGTTACCGTTTTGCATGTTTCGCGTATAAATGTTCGCTCATGCCTTCGCTCACATTTTGTACTCGTTTGACACCTTAGTGCAATTCTCGCTACCTCGATTCATTGCACCCGTAACAAGTAGAAACTCATACCAACCTCGTTGATAAACAAAACAGTGCCCTGTCTCTAGCAGCAACTCGTTGCTAAAACCATATAATCTTGGCAGTTTGTTACCCATATAATCTGTCCCAATACATTACCAACTCAAACACAACATATCGACCTGCTTCTAACTAAAATTCTAAAGCTCATGACCTACAGCAGTAACTCCAGCCAGCAGTCAAGAAACAGGACTAAAAGCCAAGATCCGCCAAATTATCTGTTGGGACCGCAAGCCCATCGAGACCCCCAAGATCTTCCCCCATTAGCAGCTCATCGTTCGGCAATCCCGCCAGCCATCCACCAAAGTCATCCCCCTGCACCCCCAGCTCCGGCATCGCCGAACCAAACACCGAGCCTGCCGCCAGGTTATCCAGCTCCACCACCTGCTCCAGCTCCGGCTGGGGCGTCGTAGGCATGGCGTTCCGGTTTGGATCCAGGTCCGGGAACTCATCCGCCGAGGCTTTTCTCTTGCCCGACTTCCCCGGACCAACTCCCGAGCCTCTCGACCGCTTCCCAAGCGGTATACCATGCGTGAGGCTCGACCCAGGTGCAAAAAAATCCCCCGGAGAAGACCCAAGAGGCTTAGAATCAAAGTCTCCTGCTCCCTCCCACGCAGAAGCAGCAGCAGCAGCACCAGAGGGATCAAGCGCCCCTGAATCGTGACCCGGCGGGGTAGCCACAGGGGGGGTTGCAGCCTGCCCTCCTGCCCCTCTCTGCCCTCCCCCCACCCGGTGCTGCCGCCACCGCCCCTTCTTCCTCTCCCCTCCGCCACCCCCTCCCGCTCCCTCCCCTCCCCCGGCAAGGCTCGACCGGGCACCAGTAGGGGTGGCCCCTGCTGACCCCCCCTCGCCTGTGCGCCTGGCAGGGGAACCCCCTTTGGTGAAATCCAGGTTGTCCCGGTCTGTTCTTTTCCGCTTGATGTTCCCTGGGAGTAGAGGTACCGGCCCCCCACTAACCCCTCCCCCTGCTCCTCCCCCTGCTGCTCCTGCCCCAGAAAACCCTCCTCTAGACGCTCCTCCTCCTGCTCCTGCTGCTGCTGACGCGCCTGCTGCACCCCTAGCACCACCAGCACCAGTGGCACCGGCACCAACAGCATCATTCGGGCTACCACCTGCACCAAATACATCCTCCAGTCGAGCGGTTCTCTCCTTGTGTCTGAACGACCCCTCCAAAGCATCACCGCCTGGTCCTGCCATTGCTCCCATGCGCTCCCCCCTGCTCTCGCTTCGCCGCAAATTTGTGCGTGAGTGTGGCTCTGGTGGGAATACGCGGGGAGGGGGAAAGGAAAGGAGGATATTGAATAAGAGGGAAAATACCAGCACCATCAGCAGCACCACCACACCACCACCAGCAGCACCAGCACCACCAGCACCAAACACATCTTCCAGTCGAGCCGTTCTCTCCTTGTGTCTGAACGACCCTTCCGAAGCCTCCCCCACTGCCATTGCTCCTTGAACTCGCCTCTGCGCTCGATTCGCCGCAAATTTGCGCAGGAATGGGGTTCTGGGTGGGGATAAATGGAGAGAGAAAAGGGTGGAGGGTCAGAGGGTAGGATTTGCAGCAAAGATGGTGTGAAAGTGCGGCCAAGGGGAGAGGGTGGGGGTCGGGGAATAAATGGAGAGACAAAAAAGAGAGTGAGAGAGGGGGGGCACGTGGAGAGTGGAAGGGGAGGAGAGGTCAGGGGAGGAGAGGTCAGAGGAGGAGAGGTCAGGGGAGGAGAGGTCAGAGGAGGAGAGGTCAGGGGAGGAGAGGTCAGAGGAGGAGAGGTCAGGGGAGGAGAGGTCAGAGGAGGAGAGGTCAGAGGAGGAGAGGTCAGAGGAGGAGAGGTCAGAGGAGGAGAGGTCAGAGGAGGAGAGGTCAGAGGAGGAGAGGTCAGAGGAGGAGAGGTCAGAGGAGGAGAGGTCAGAGGAGGAGAGGTCAGAGGAGGAGAGGTCAGAGGAGGAGAGGTCAGAGGAGGAGAGGTCAGAGGAGGAGAGGTCAGAGGAGGAGAGGTCAGAGGAGGAGAGGTCAGAGGAGGAGAGGTCAGAGGAGGAGAGGTCAGAGGAGGAGAGGTCAGAGGAGGAGAGGTCAGAGGAGGAGAGGTCAGAGGAGGAGAGGTCAGAGGAGGAGAGGTCAGAGGAGGAGAGGTCAGAGGAGGAGAGGTCAGAGGAGGAGAGGTCAGAGGAGGAGGGATGGCTTGGGGGGGGGGGGGGGGGGGGGGCTGTCTGTCACTGGGTGGGGACCCTGTTTGTCTGCCTCTCCAAGTGACTTGACTTGTGAGTCAATTTAGAATGCACCCTCACCCAGGATGAACAACGCACCTTCCCTGAAGCTGTCACAGGGAGAACCAGCTATCCGCCTCTGCCTCTCACGCTGACCTTTGAGTTTACGTTTAGTCAAACGTTGCCTCAACTCACATGCCACCTGGCCTGCCCTCAGCCCAGCACGCAACTTCCCTGAAGCTGTCACAAGGGGAACCAGCAATGAGCATCGACGCCACCGGACTATCTGCCTCTGCCTCTCCTGGCGACTTGCCAGCCGACTCAACAGTCACCTCGTCTCAAGAATCTCCTCATCTCACAAGATACCTCGACCCAAAGGTGGCCGCGCACCTTCCCTGAAGCTGTCACACACACGGCGACCCAGCAATGAGCATCGATGCCACCAGCCTGTCCACCTCGGCCTCTCGTGTTGCCTTTTGAGTTCACCTTGAGTCAAAAGTTGCCTCGACTCACAAGCCACCTGGCTTGCCCTCAACCCAACACGCACCTTCCGTGAAGCTGATTGCTGTCACACACGGCGACCCAGCAATGAGCATCGACGCCACCAGACTATCCGCCTCTGCCTCTCCAAGTGACTCGTGTGAGTTTACTCAAGAAAGTCGTTGCAACTCACAACTCAGCTAGAGCCTACAACATCCACGCACCTTCCCTGAGGCTGTCACAGGGCGACCCAGCAATGAGCATCGACGCCACCGGACTATCTGCCTCTGCCTCTTGCAACGAATTCTAAGTTAACCTCTACTCAACTCACGACTCACCTCACCTAGAAGGCCACTAAGCCACGCACCTTCCCTGAAGCTGTCACACGGAGACCCAGCAATGAGCATCGACGCCACCAGACTATCCGCCTCTGCCTCTCGCACGCCTCCCCCTCCTGCTCCCCCTACACCACCCTCTCCACCACCACCAGCACCAGCCCCTCGCAGGGGACTCAGCCCAGCGATTTCCAGTGCTGGCGATTCCCCTCCCATTGCGGTGTCATCAGCACCTGCAGCAGCGACAGCAGCTGCTGCTGCAGTGGTGGTGGCGGTGGGAGCGAAGGAGAGAGGGATGGGAGGGCGGGGTGGGGACGGGGGGAAGAGCGCCAGTCTCTGGCGGTTGAACAGGGAGAGGAGGCCAGAGGCAGAGGCGCCTGCACCAGATAAACCTGCCCCAGAACCGTCGAAACCACCTGCACCAGCAGCAGTGGCAGCAGCGCCAGCAGCACCAGCAGCAGCACCATGGGCACTTAGTGTCCCCCCTGGGGTTGTCACCACACCAGAACTCCTCCCCACCCCTCCCAATCCAGGAGTACCCACACCGCCAGGCCCGGGCGTCCATGGCAGCGGGCTGCGCTCGGCGAGTAAGCTCGGCGAGGGCTGCAGGTCCGGGTGCACACGCTGCAGGTGCGGCAGCAGCGTGCCGGCGTGCCATTGGTCGGCGCGCTGCAGGGCGCGGCGCACAAAGTGGACGGCGGACTGGCGGGCCAGCTTGAGGGAGGAACCAGCGCCCTTGGTGATGGTGCCCGCTGCTCCCGCCATCTTGAGACCCTGGAAGGGAGAGGAGGGGAGGAGGGAAGGCGGAGTGGGCGAAGAGCAGGGTTGGTTTAACAAGGGTGCTCTCTTCCCCTGCCAGCCACTCCTCAGCGCTCTGCAGGTCCTTCCTTCCCCACTGAATCCAGCCAGCATGGCACTCCTGGGTGCGCTGCAGGGCTCGGCGCACAAAGTGGACGGCAGACTGGCGGGCGAGCTTGAGGGAGGACCCAGCGCCCTTGGTGATTGTCCCTGCTGCTCCCGCCATCTTGAGACCCTCGGAGGGTGAGCAGGGGAAAAGGGGTAAGGAGATTGTATGAGCCGAAGCTTGAGGGAGGAGCCATCCCCCCCCATGGTGATCGTGCCTGCTGCCCCTGCCATCTTCAGCCCCTGGAGAGAAGGGTGGGGGAGGAGGGAAGGAGGGAGTGAGACGTCTCGGATTTGAAGGACTCAGGATGTTTTGATGGTTCAAAGGAAAGCCATAGGCTGCAAGAGAAAGACGAAAGAGTGAAAAGGTATGTGCAAGCGGAGCCTATTCGGGGAAGAGGGAGGGTGGCGCGCGGTCGTGCAGTGTGGTGCAGTGTGGTGGGGTGTGCGTACGTTTTGTCTGGCATAGGCCATTTCCAAGAGCCGATCCACCACCAGCTTCGCCAGTGGGAGAGAAGGGGCTTTTGAGTTCTATGGTACGTACCGCGGCACGGTGTGAGGAGACCAGATGGGAAGAGAGATGGGGGGGAGGGGGCAGTGGTGGGTTGGGGTGTGCGTACCGTTCGTCTGGCATATGCCATCTCCAGCAGCCGATCCACTACCAGCTTCTCGCAGCTCCTGCCAGCACCGCACAGTACAATGACAAATCAGGTAAGAGGAATGAGCAGGAGTTTCAAGAGCAGGGATGAAACCAGAAGGCTGAACTATTTCCATCATCCAGCAAGAATCAGCCAAAAAGTTCTACGCAAACAGCTTTTCAAAGCCAAATAGGTTGAATATTTCTGGAATTGCTTCACCCACAGCAGACCCCTCCCTCTCTTCACCCTTCACCCACCTTTCTTCCTCCAGTCGCCTTGATGCCACCACCTCTTCCAAATACGCTGCCTTGTGCTGGTTGTGCTGTGCCTGGAAGCACAGGGAGGAGCGGGAACGGGCAGAGCAGAAGGAAGGAACGACGCAGTGAGGGTAGGCGCAGTGAGGGACGGGCTCCCACCAAACACGCTTCCAGTCGCCTTGATGCCACCACCTCTTCCAAATACGCTGCCTTGTGCTGGTTGTGCTGCGCCTGGGGGAACAGGGAGGAGGGAGGAAGGGAAGAAGAGCAGAGGGGAGAGAGGAGGAGGAGCATGGAGGAGGGGGATACTTGCCACTTTTGCGACCACCTCGCCTTGGCTCTTCTCGTTCTACCTCGACTCACCTTCACTCGCGAGATCCTTCACTCGCTCTCTCCTTCACTCGCTCTCTCCTCCACTCGCTCTCACCTCCACTCGCTCTCACCTTCACTCGCTCTCTCCTTCACTCGCTCTCTCCTTCACTCGCTCTCTCCTTCACTCGCTCTCTCCTTCACTCGCTCTCTCCTTCACTCGCTCTCTCCTTCACTCGCTCTCTCCTTCACTCGCTCTCCTCCTCGCTCTCTCCTTCACTCGCTCTTTCCTCCACTCACTCTCTCCTTCACTCGCTCTCTCCTTCACTCGCTCTCTCCTTCACTCGCTCTCTCCTCCACTCGCTCTCACCTCCACTCGCTCTCACCTCCACTCGCTCTCACCTCCACTCGCTCTCACCACGGCTGGACCCGTGTTGCTCTCACTCACCTTGGCCTGCTTTCGCCTGTGGGACATGTGAAGGCTGGCGCTAATCTCATCGTATTCCGATGAACCACATTGACCCGCCTTGACTCACATTGACTCACTTTGACTTTCTCTCACCCGTGTTGCTCTCACCTTAACTTGCAGTCGTCTGTGGGAAATGCGAAGGCTGGCACTGATCTCATCGTCCTGCCGCTGCGCCTCCTGTAGCTGTGAGGGGAGAGCGAGGTGTGGGTGGGAGGCGGAACAAGGGGGGTTGGCCAGACGGAAGGGGGTGGGATGAGGAGTGGGAAATGCGAAGGCTGGCACTGATCTCATCGTCCTGCCTCTGCACCTTCTGCAGCTGTGAGGTGTGGGAATGTGAATGTGGGTTCAGGGACAAAAGGGGATGGGGATGGGGATGGGGATGCGGATGGGGATGGGGATGCGGATGGGGATGGGGATGAGGATGGGGATGGGGTGCGGCCAGATCCCAGCACCACATGCACTCTCTCTTATCCTATCCACCATCTTACCCCAATGCATGCACCCTTCTTACCCCGTGCACGCGCAGCAGTCCCACATGAGCCAACTCCAGTCGCACCCTTGCTTCCAGCCCCATACCTCTCCACTCCTCCGCACTCAGCAGTCCTCCTCCCCCACTCCCCCTCTCTCCCCCTCCCCCCCCCCAACAGCCCTCCCCCTGGCCCCCTCCCCCCTTCCATCTGCGCCCAAATCTGCCCACTGTTGGGCTGCCAGCTGTTTGATTGGCTGTTTCTAATTCGACCGAAATCAACCTGCCCCCATGTGTGTGACTGTGACAGTAACGAAGGGCCCCGAAGCAGGTTCCCGGAAAGTGCTGCATCAGATAACACCTCCTCTTCTGCAGGTAAAACCCACTCTACCTCCCCTCCTTCCACTCCTCCTCCATTATTACCCCTCTTCCCCCCTGCTGCAGCTCGTCCATCCCCCCCACCCCCATTCACCAAAACACCCCTTAAAAACCCCTCCTCGTCCTCCTCTCCTTCGTCCTTCGCACCTCCTCTCTCCCCTTTCCCTCTCTTTTCACCATCCCCTTCCTTTTCCTCCACCTCTTCCTCCTCCTCCTCCTCCTCCTCCTCCTCGTCCTCCTCTTCATCATCCTTACACTCCCCTCCGTCACACCCACCCTCCTTGCCCCAGCCCTGCCTGGGGCAGTCAATCAAAGCAGACAGCAGCCGATTCACCATCGACTCACCAACCACTCCTCCCCACTCCCTCCCACCCCCTCCCAAACCTCCGTCCAAACCTCCTCCCGCCCCTTCCAGCCCGCCTGCGGGCGAGCGGTTACCACCAGCAGGTGTTACAGCCATGAGAGGGGGAAGAGCATGCAGGGCGCCTGAGGGGTGAGACTCTGAGCCTCCCATTAACAACCCCACCACGTTCCCATTCCCGTTGCCGTGGCCGTTACCGTTACTGTTACAGTTACCAGCAGCACTGGCTGCTGCGGAATCAACACCAGCAGCACCGGCTGCTGCTCCCTCTGTTGCTCCAGACTGCACAAGCACACAGATGGAGAGGGAAGAGGATCGTAAATTGGGATGGAGAGGGAAAAGATGGGATTGATTGCGGCTGCAAGCACTGGGATGCCTGTGGTGGGGTCTGTAAGTCCATCTCTTGCACCTGCTGCTCCCTCTGTGACTGAAGACTGCACAAGGATTGCGATGCAGGGGGAGGAGAATGAATGGGATTGAGAGGGAAAATAGAGTGGGATAGCGTAGCGGGTGGTGTGCTGCTTGTGGTGGAGTCTCTGTTTCTTTCTGCCTTTTCTGCTGCTGCAGGTGTGTTTGAGAGGGAAGACAGCGTTTTAACAGGACTGCAAAGGCAACTGAGCCTAAACGTCTCCAAACTGGATTTCTTGAGACCAAAGTATTCTATAATAGAAAGAAAATCTCACATAGATACATATCAGTTTTCATCAACTCACCATCTGCCTCAGTCTCGCAAGGTCCTCTGGGGCAGGGAAGTGGAAGAATGGCTCAACGGCTTTCCAGAAGGGGCTGGACGCTGCTGCAGCTGCACGCGTGGGGAAGGATGGGGAGTTGGGCGAAGGGAAAGGGGTGATGAGTCTATGTTGTGCTGTAATATTCATTTGAGTGAAATGGAAGAATGGCTCCACGGCTTTCCAGAAGCGGCTGGACGCTGCTGCAGCTGCACGCGTGGGGAAGGATGGGGGGGGAAACGGAGGAGGGTGAGTTAGCATTGCTGCGTCCCACATAAGGGAAGTGGAAGAATGGCTCAACGGCTTTCCAGAAGGGGCTGGCCGCTGCTGCAGCTGCAGGGGCAAAAGAGGGTCGGGGGGCATGAGGAAGGAAGGAATTCTGGTTTAGGGTTTCGGGTCTAGAGGCAGGTGCAGGCGGGTGCGGTAAGGTGGGGGCAAGGAAGGGGGGAGCGGCGGCGGAGGAGGAGGAGGAGGAGGAGGAGGAGGAGGAGGAGGAGGAGGAGGAGGAGGAGGAGGAGGAGGAGGAGGAGGAGGAGGAGGAGGAGGAGGGTGGTGAGTCAGTGGGTGTGGTATTTTTCACTCACAACCAGCCAAAAGGGACTAGACACAGCTACAGCTGCATTTGCTGCAGACGCGTGTAAGGTGGGAGGAATTGGGGGGTTGAGGGAGGAGGGTGATGAGTCAGTAGGTGTTGTATCTTTCATTCACATGAAATGGGTTGCACAGAAGCTGGAGCTGGGAAAGCGACTAGCAGCTCTAACTTATGGGCCTAAAGATTGGTATGCTACTCATGCATGCATGCATACATGCACCACTTGCCAGGCCAAGGGTTTTGTCAGACCGTTAACTTTGGCACCAGCCTCAATTGGAAAAGGCCTCAACGCACGGGAAAGAAAGAGCCTCACCTCCTGTATTTATGTGTAAAAAGTGTATTTCTTAGACGTCTCAAAAATACACTTTTTTACACGGGAAAGGAAGACCCTCACCTCCTGTATTCATGGCTGCCTGTATCGCATTTGATAGCTCCTCCGCATCATCGTCCGAATCACCTGAAAAGAGCAGAAAAAGGGAGCATAGTAAGAAGTTATTACCAGAAATAATGACAACAATGACAAGATACCAGCATCGCACTCACTCACCTAAGAGAAACACTCACCGGATTCCTCCATTGGGCTGTCTGCATGCATGCGCCTCTGCACCCTGTTGGCTGCATTGCGCCTGTCCACCCTGCCGCCCCTGGTTGGTTGGAATTGACGAGAAGGAAGAGAGCGAGGAAAGAGCGGGCGGGAGGGGTTACATGGGAGGGAGGGAAAGAGAATGCATGCGCCTCTGCACCCTGTTGGCCGCATTGCGCCTGTCCACCCTGCCGCCCCTGGTTGGTTGGGATTGGCAAGAAGGAATAACGGGAGAGGAGGGATGAGAGGATATATGGGAGGGAGGGAAAGCGCATGCATGCGCAGCGCCTCGCCTCTGCACCCTGCTGCAGGGTGTTTTTGAGAATTCTCCAAAACACCCTGCCGCATGCATGCATGCGCAGCACCTCGCCTCTGCACCCTGTTGGCTGTCGATGCATGCATTGTGCCTGTCGATGCTGTTGCTCCTGCTTCGTGCTAGACTCATTTTATTTGGATACTCATAAATTGCCCACAGGCGTGACAATATAGGAGCCTCACCTCTCTCCTTTGTCCAATCCCAGGCGAGAGGTGCGGATCTGCTTCACGTTATTCGCCACTCCAACCACCCCGCCTGCTCCACCCCCACCACTCCCACCACCGCCACTGCCACCTCCACCCGCAGCAGAGGCAGCACCACCAGCACCACCAGAGCCACCAGCACCACTACCCAGCACCCCACCATCGTCCGCCCCTTCACTCCCCATGCTAGACACGGCTTCTTTCTTCAATCTCAACCCCCCAGCAGCCACTAATCTCCCCGTCCTCCCCTGTCGCCTCACCCCATCCGCCCCTCCCGCCCCTCCCCCTCCTCCACCTCCCCCTTCCTCCTTCACTACCCCCCCTCCTCCCTCTGTTTTCTCTCTCACTCTCCCCAGCTTGCCCTTTTTGTCCTTTCTCCGCACTTTAGCCAATCCCGTGCCTCGGGACTGGACCTCCGACAAGCCCCCTGCTTCCCCCCCCGCCCCTCCCCCCGCTCCCCCTAAGCTCTCCCCCGCGCCCCCCAAATGCCCCCCCACACTCCCACTCTCTGTCGGCCAAAGTCCCCCTCCCTCCCGCCCACCCCCACCCCCTTCCCCATCCATCTCCTCCCCCCCATACCCCTCCTCGTCCCCTTCCCCACCCCCTTCACTCACCCCCACAGACCCTAACGGGGACATAGCCATACCTAAGCCAGCTCCCGCTCCCCCTCCCCCTGCTCCCCCTGCTGCTGCTGCGCCAATGCCCCCTGACCCACCCCCTGCTCCTCCCCCTGCTCCGCCAACTCCTCCTCCTCCCCCTGCCGCTCCTGCTTTATGCAGCTTGCCTGGCTTTCTCCCCCTGCTAGTAGGGGGGAGCCCTGACTGATTACCCTGCTGATGCTGCTGCTGGTGATGCGGCTGATCCCACAATCCAGCCCCATCCCCTCCGCCCTCTCGTTCAGACTGCACGGAATGAGCAGGGGAAGCAGCTCGTGCGCCAAACGCCCCTTTCCTATCTGCTGCTCCCCCTCCCACCTTTCTCACCGCCGCTCCTCCTCCCCCTCCCCCCCCTGCACCTGCATTTCCCACTCCGCCCGCGCCTGCCTTATCGCCCCCGCCCAACGTCCTAGGACCGCGGGTCGCTCGTCCTTTAGTGATCCCCGCTCCGCCTCCCCCTCCCCCTCCGCCTCCACTGCTCTTAGGCGCATTTTCCTCCCCCTGAAGCGGGCTTCCAGGCACAGACGAGCCTCCCCCTCCTCCCCCTCCTCCCCCACCACTCCCCCCGGCTCGCATGGTGCCAAACCTCCCACTGGCATCCCTTGTCTGGTGCAACCCTATCCCCTTGCCCGCCTGTCCCTTAGGCCCACTATCACTACCTGCTCCCCCTCCTCCTGTTCCTCCTCCCCCTCCCCCATCACCTGCTCCTGCCCTGCTTCCAGACGTCACCCCATGCACAGGACCGGCCCGGAACACCGAGCCTGAGCCCGAGCCTGCTGCCGAGCCTCCAGGCTTGTGCGAAGAGCTCGAAAGGGACCGCTTGAGCCCCCCTCCCGCGCCTGTTGCTGCAGCAGAAGCACCACCACCAGCACCACCACCGGCAGCACCAGTACCAGTACCAGCAGCAAGAGAGTCTGTTACTACGCCGTTGACACTCCCTCCTGCTGCAGTTGCAGTCCCTGCAACATCTGCCTTGGGGCGGGATCGCTTGCCCTTCATCTTTCTGTGCTGCTGCTGCCCCTCGTGTCCGCTTGCCCCTGCTGCTCCTCCTGCTGCTGCGCCAGACCCTGCGAGGTGCTTTTGATCCGAGGCGTTTTCGTGGTTTGACTGGTGGTGGAAAGGAGGTGGGGCGAGCAGATGTGGGGAGAGAGGAGAGACAGGGCGCATTGGAGGATGACGACAGAACTGCTGAATAGACTCCTCTGTTGATAGACAGAACAAACTAACTCACGACTGAGGAAGAAAGGGGGAAAGAGGAGGGGAATGGGGACGCGAGGACAGGAGATTAAGGGAGGGACAAAGAAGCAGAAAACAGAATGGAAAAATTGATGTGGATTGGGGACAAGGGGATGGATTGGACGGAACACATACTGGAAGGCAGGCGTTTGACAAGAAAAGGTGCAAGACAAGAATGAAAGTGTCATGAAGGAAAGTGAAGGTATGTTTTTTGAGAATTCTAAAAAAACGCACACTGGACTGGAAGGCAGGCGTTTGACAATAGAAGGTGCAAGACAAGAATGAAAGTGTCATGAAGGAAAGTGAAGGTAGCAGGAAGGAAGGGCTGGTGGCACAGAGGGAAAGGATATGGTTTCGCGGTGCAGAACGGAGAAGCAGGAGTAAATTGCTGACATGGGAGTGGGCTCAGAAGTGGTCAACGGGGTCAACAGGAGTCAAGAGGAGTCAACGGGGTTCAACGGGAGTCAACGGAGTCAACAGGATTTAACGGGGTCAACGGGGTCAACAGGAGTCAACGGGGTCAACTGAAGTCCACGGGAGTCAATGGGGTTTGACGGGTCATGGGAGTCAACTGGAGTCAATGGAGGCAACGCACCAATGTGCGCGCATGCCGGTTCGCGCCACCCCCAGCTTTCGAGTGCCCCGGCCCTGTCCGTCCCCCTCCTCCCCCTCCTCCCCCACCACCACCAGCAGCCCCTCTCCCCCCTGCTCCAACTCCAACCCCAGCAGCACCATCCCCCGCGCTGCCACTGCTTCGGCTGTTATCCCCTGGCGTCCCAGCTGCCCCGCTCGCGCCGCCAGCACTGACAGCAGCACCACCAGCTGCAGCGTTGGCTCCGTCGCCCCTGCCCACGCGCCTCCTCATGCTCACACCGTTGAGCCACGTGTCGAGACGTGATAGGGCGTCCTGCAGATGTCGAGTCCGATCCCTGGAGGAGAAGGGGGAGAGCGGGGAGGGGAAGGGTGGCGGGAGGAGAACGGGGAGGGGGAAGGGGGGAGAGGGAAGAGGGAAGAGGGAAGAGGGAAGAGGGAAGAGGAGAGAGGGGAGAGGGGAGGGGGGAGGAGAAGGAGTGCTGCGTGAGAAAGGATAGCTCTGAATCTGGTCTGAAGTATAATCTGTAAAGTTGGTCAGCACGGAGATAAAAATGTTGTTTTGAGACGTCGCAAAACCAACACTTTTATCACGTTGGACAGGACAGCACGGAGAACGGGAATCAGCCATGATTGGCTCGAGCTCAGCTGCTGATAACAGGCCAATCAAGCTGCAAGAACAGCAGTGGCGGCGGCGGCGAGGCGGCGTCAGTGGCAGCAACGGCAACAGCAGCAGCATCAGTAGCAGCAACTGAAGCGGCAGGGGCAGCAACAGCACTGAAAGGAGAGAAAGGAGGAGGACGAAAAGGAGGGATCTTACTGGCAACTACCGTCAGAAAAGAGGAGATAACATAATTCACGGGTACAGACACATGGAAACGGGCAGGACAGGGCACACAGAATGTGACACTAGCGAGCGGGGATGATTACCAAACGTTTAGGGTCACTATGAGGACCAATCCCCTGGTGCACATTGCACAATGACTCCAGGCACTCCCACGAGGATCAAACTGACTAATCTAGAAACGCCCACCATAACCGATGTGACTGTATCGAACATCCCCCATACAATACCAAATACCTCACCTTGCACGATCTCGACCATCCCTCAACGCCGCCACCATCCTCCTCCGCTCCTCTCCCGTTACAGTCACAACAGGCAAGCCCCCCCCAGCTGCCGCCTGGTCCGCTCTCCCTTCCCCCAGTCCCCCCGCAGCTCCCCCCGAAGCTCCTTCCCGCGCCTTCCCCACTGCGGAATCCAACTCCGCGTGTCTCCCGAACCGTAGTTCCCCGGTAGATAGCTCTTCCAGCGACAGTATGCGCGCGAGAGACGATTCTCCACGAGAGGCGGAACCTCCGCCAGCGGCGGAGCATCCCCCGGCAGCGGACGCTCCCCCAGCAACGCCTTTCCCCGCGAACCCCGCACCGGTTCCACCGCCGGAACCGCTCCCGCCGATTCCGCCTCCAGCGGGTTGCCCCTCGTCCGCATATTCCGCGGAAACCATTCCTCCCGCTGGTCGACCCGAGAGACCCGGACCCTCCTGGCCAGCTGGCCGATCGTTACTGGCGTCTAGAAACCCTTGATCGCCGGGCTGCGATTGCTGCTGACCTGGCAGTGAGGAATGTGGTTGTTGCTGACCTGGCACTTGGTCGGTGGCAGGCCAGCCTGACGCGAAGCCGCCACCCTCCTGGTCTTGCAAGTACTCGTATTGGCGATCCATGGATTTGGCTACGAATCCTAACATACGCGGGTTGGACTAGCGTAAGCGATTCGACGGTATTATGCTTCGGCTCGCGTCAGCAGACACGAACGGACTGGCGACAATGGAGTGTTGACCAAAAACTTGAAAATGTGGTAGTCAGTCTGACAGTGAAGGTGAGGCAATCAGTTTAAAACTTAAGGGCTTGCAAGCTGGCTGCAAGACGCGAGAATAAATGACGAGAGACGGTAATAGTGGATGTAACTAATGAAAGGACTGGCAACGGTTTAGCATGGCGCGTCGCGCAGCCATGGCGGGAAGATTGATTGGGTGACTGCTGTCTGACTCGAAACCCTAAACTGATGACTCAGATTGAAAGTGTAAGTAGCTGCGAGCCACAACTCCATACTCGCTATCGGAAGCCCACTCTAACACCCACAGTCATATTAGAGTCAGATGATTTTAGATCTTCTGATTGCAAAAATTAAACATGAGCAGTTACATTGTGAAGTAAAACAATGAATTATGCTAGGAATTCGCAGAGAATCTAAGAAATTTTGATTAATGAACAATTGTACTATAGAGCATTGATTGTGTATTCCTCAATAGAGTTCTAACTACTGCATACCAAGTTGTTTTAGTACCGGGTGAAACTCGGTAGCGAGTATCGAATTGACATTCATGAAGCGATCCGCATTCCAGACTCAATGGAGCCGAGCTAGTTCGTTCCGACAGGTCTGACGGCTGGCAGGCACAAAGGAAAAGGAGCTGCTCCGTAAAGCAGGGGTCCTTTTTCGAGCCAATCGAGGCTTGTACTGGGCAGGTAGGCGGAAATATTTCCATACTCCAGACACGGATCCACCAGCACTTCTTCCTCCATCCCACCCATCCAATCGCCGTTTTCTGCTCGCAGGTGTTTTAGACATTGATAGGACACACACACAAGGCTGTGGAGCAGAGGATCTCGTCATGGCGGCTGCGAAGTGGTTATGCTTCGTTTGCTGCATGTGGATTCTTTCCACAGCCGGAACGTCCGGGACATTCGCCATTTACTCACCCGTCCTGAAAGCCGTAGCAGGCTATGATCAGAAGCACATTCAGGCTCTAGCCGTTGCCAAGGATGTTGGAGAAAGCGTCGGTCTAGTTGCGGGTATCTTGTGCGACTGGCTACCAGGGTGGCTTATGCTTCTGGTTGGTGCACTGCACTATCTGACTGGATTTGGTGGTCTATGGCTCGTAGCTTCGCAGCGCATTCAGCCGCTACCATTCTGGCAGGTGAGTCCACGATTAATGCCACATTCGCGGCGAATTGGATAGCTTTGACTTCCTGATGTACCCTGAGGTCGATCCTTACGCATTTCTTTCGCAGATGTGCTCGTTAATTCTAGTTGGAGCTCAGGGGACCGCTTGGTTCAACACAGCAGCTCTCGTGACCTGCATACGCAATTCTCCGAGATCGCGAGGACCAGTTGTTGGCGTCCTGAAAGGACTGGTTGGCCTTTCGAATGCCATTCTCTCTCAAGCTTACTCAGCTTTTCTAGCTCCAAACCAGCCGTCGTTTCTCTTGGTCCTTGCCGTCGTGCCTTTGGCAGTTGCCGTTCCAACCATGAGCTTTGTCAGGTACGAGTCGGGGTTTCAAAATGGCGGTTCACATATGGATCAAAAGTCTTAATTTGCCTCTTTGTGCAGGTCAGAAAACCGGGTCTTGTACGATGATATTGAGGAGAAAAAGAGCTTTGAGAAAGTCGTCATGTCCTGCACGGGCCTGGCATGCTACCTTCTTGTTGCAATCTTCGTTGAAGATCAGATGGAACTAACATCTCAGGTGCGTTGAGGCAGGGTCAGATGTTATTAACGTTTCAGGTGCGTTAGTGCGATGTCTAAAAGAAAAATGCTTTGATAAGTTTCACTTGCCCATTTTCGGCAGATCCGGGCATGGATTTTTGCTGGAATGCTGTTCTTTCTGGTTACACCTTTGGCTGTGCCGGCTGCGCACTTCTTTGAAGAGCTTCACCTTAATTTCATTGACACTTCAAGAAGAGATGAACCGTGCGACGGAGAGGTGGATATAAGAGAGGCTGATGACAAACTTCAACCCCTAATTCATCGAGTGTTAAGCACAGACTCCATATTTTCCGACTTCAGTCCATCTGAAACACCAGCTGACGATGGGAAAGAAAACCAGCCTCTACATTGCGTGAGTCTAAAGATTTATTAACGTTTGATATGGATGCTGAGTAAGTCGGTTAAAGCTTATCCCAGTTTATAATTGTTATTTTTGTTTATTTGGTGCAGAGTCCACATGCTTATTTGAGTTCAGAATTGTGTGATCAGGAGTCGGGGGACTCTCAAAAAGGTTTGTTGGTGCCTGACCAGGAGAGGACTTACAACTCTCACCCAGTCCTGGATGTTCATCATAGGGGACTGGACGAAGCTGTTCACAGACAGCTGAACAGAAGGAGGAGTTCCCAGATCCTCTTAGCAGTGGGAGAAGGTGCTGTACGGACGAGAAGGAAGGGTCCGAGACGTGGTGAAGACTTCACACTTGTTGAAGCTCTTCGAAAGGCTGATTTTTGGCTGCTTGTGTTCTCGTACATTTGTGGCTGTGGATCTGGGTTGACTGCAATCAACAACTTGGCACAGATGGCATCCTCCCAGGGCTACAGCCGGGTGCAACTGTTTGTGTCGCTGGTTAGCGTGTGGAACTTCATTGGCCGCCTTGCTGGAGGTTATTGCTCCGAGCACCTCGTCAAGTAAGTGGATGAACTCCTGATATTGGTTGTGTATTGATTGCATAGTATCATGTTTCACATTTCATACTTGTCGCTTGCAGGACTTATCTCCTTCCAAGGCCACTGCTGCTTCTTGTGGCACAGCTTGTTATGTCAGCTGGTCATGCCATTTACGCGATAGCCTTCCCATACTCTTTGCACATCGGCTCACTCATTGTTGGGCTTTGCTATGGTGTTCACTGGTCTGTGATGCCTGCAACCGTGAGTGAGCTCTTTGGCCTGAAGAATTTCGGTCTAATATTCAATGCAGTGGCGGCTGCCACTCCAATTGGTTCGTACTTGTTTTCAAGCCTGATCGCCGGGTACCTTTACGACTACGAAGCGCACAAGGGTAATGGTATGGGGAATCCCTGGCAACAATTACTGGTGCAGGCATTCAGCTCATGGAGGCTTGATTCGTCAGAGTTCACTGAGTGCGTTGGGACCCATTGCTTCCGGCTAACTTTCACAATCATGATGGGGGTGTGCTGGATCGGAGCAGCGTTCACTGGAATTCTAGTATGGCGCACCACCCGTGTTTATGTGGCTATGTACAGAAAAGGGGGGTCCTTTCATAAGCTATGATGGTTTTTTTCTGAATATTTAATATCATTGGCTTATGTACGGTACATCAGAGTGGTCTCATCATCATGCATTTGGGAAGAAAGTAATGCTGGATAAGGAACACAAACGGTATCACAGCACAATTTACATTACGTTATGTAATATCTTCGCAGCCATGGCACCCCTGTTGTCTGTTCTTGCTGCAGAAGTTGCTTATCACCAGCAATATGGCCGTTTGCGCACCTATTTTTGCCTTCATAAAGTCCATTTGTATGGCCAAAGGTACCTGAGCCTGTGTAACTCATAGTTCTGCCAGCCATGGACCCATTATGGCTCCCTTCAGCTATGACAACCTCAGCAGCTCGATTACTGGTCCCTGGTTTGTCGCAGCTCACAAGTCCCTGCGCTCTGATTGCCAGTGGAAAGACAGGTGCTGGTCTGGAGCATATCAAAGCAAAGGGAAAAAGGGTACATCAATGCAACGGCATTCAGCAAACGGCAGTCACGTGACTAGAGATTGTGCAGAGAACTAATTGACCGTCCGCTTACACCAATGCAGAGGCATCGCCAGCTTGTTCACTGTCATGCGCCAAGGAGACGCTTGAGCGCTGGACATTCCTGGGCTCTGGGATTTTGAAGATGAAGAGGGCGTTACAACGTTTTGCAGGTTTAGTAGGGCTGCATCACGCTTGATTTCATCCAGTGTTTTACCAGCCATTAACTGTTTAATAATAAAAAAAATGAGGCCCGGTGCGGAAAGAGAGGACATGGGAATTGTAAGTTGAAAACGTAACCATGCTGTGGCAAGTGCGGTTGAAAAGAACGCACTGCAAGGCAATTTGGAAAATGGCAGCGGCTCGTACCTTTCGGTAAGGCCATCTGGAAACTCCGTTTTCACGACATACCCTCTTCAAAGTGGCGTTGCTTACACCTGTAACAGAAACATGTCAGGACGCGACGTCCACTCGACTGTACAACCACTGGGGAATATCTGACGGCACGGTGACGGAACCATGACGAGTAAAACATATTACACCCTGATAATGACGGAACCATGACGGAACGAATAAACGGGCGCGTGTACATTCACCGACCGAGTCGTGCAGCAGCCTCAAGGACTGGGAGGTTAAAATGCTTCTCTACGTCCTCATAACTGATCTGCTCCCGAATGTGCTTTGTCATAGTTAGTGAAAACCGTTTCCGACCAATATCCTGTGATCAAATGCGACTCGCATAAAGAGATCGTTGTATGCTGTGGGAGATGGTTGGAAGTGAAGTAAAAAACCACGCAGGTTATCGCCAACTAGTGATCGTTACCCTCACGTGATTCATAAAAGCTGGCATGCCATTGCACTGTACGCGATAAATGTAGACACTCATTGTGCACAAGGCAAATGTGTAAGATAGGGGGGGGGTACTGTACCCCTTCAAATATTTGGATGTGTTTCAACTTTTTCTCCATCCACCCCACTTTGTGTGATAGGGAACTCTGACCTCGAGTCGCATTTGAAGCACCTCCTAGCGGCGTCACAGGCTTGAACGTTCTGCTGCTCACCTTGGCGACTCAAGTCGTCGCCTAACCGCTGCAAACACCTGCGGAACCAGCTAGTGTCAGCGTACCATTGCGTGTCCCTCGTTTCGAGAAATAGTAGGAAGCACGGATTAGAAGAATGTCGAAGCGAGAGCGAGAAGGGCAATTGACGTATGAGGAGGTTTCTAAGCACTTCGCGTCGACGCTTGTCGACGCATCGGCGAGTCTGGGTGCGTGCCGGCTGGCTTCTTGCATTCAAATTAGAAAGCATCTCGTCGCTACTTGCACCAGTTCGCCTTTCCTTTGAACCGCAAAGCCTTTCCCCTCTTCCTTCGCCACCGCTTTTAAATAAACTCGAAGGTTAAGCATTGGACATAAATAAAGGTGACGAACTTGCTTTAGAAACTTCGTGCGCTGTGCTTGGAGACAAAAGGATTGGACACGCATCATACCCGTCAACAATGATCCTCTCTGCAAAAGCCCTCCCTAGGTGGAGTGCTTTCCGGATTCCGCCCTCAAAGGTCAGCAAACGTCAACCCCCCCCCCTCCCCCCCCCCCCCCCCCCCCCCCCCCCTCCCCCCCCCCCTCCCCCCCCCCCCCGCCCCCCCCCTTTACCCCTTCTCAACCCCCTCGCCGTCCCAATCTTCTCAGGTGTAAGCACTGCTATTCTGAAAAAGATATGCCGCGAAAACGGCATACCCAAGTGGCCCTTCAGAAAGGTAAGCCGTTCTTCTCCCTTTCACGATAGCAGATTTATATCTTCCTGTTTTTTTTGGATTGTCACATTCTTCTGCTTCCCCTGTTTTTTAGTACTGTCGTGAACCCCTCATTTCCCCTTTCGTTTGCTCTCCACTGTTCCTCCCCAAACCCCAACCCCACCGCAGCTCGCATCAGGCATAACAATTTAGGAGATCAAGCGAGACACAGCAGCACATTCTTGAGATGCTTCAAAGGTCCCTCTTCCTCCCCCCCCCCCTCCACCCTTTCCTCCACCACCGCAGATCGCATCAGGCATGATGATTGAGGAGATCAGGCGAGCTACAGCAGCAAACTCTTGAGATGTCTCAAAGGTCCCTCTCCCCACCCCCCCTCTTCCTCCATCACCGCAGATCGCATCGGGCATGATGATAGAGGCGATCAAGCGAGACACAGCAGCAAACTTTTGAGACGTCTCAAAGCCCCCCCCCTTCCCTCCTCCACCGCAGATCGCATCGGGCATGCTGACAGAGGAGATCAAGCAAGCCGCCGCAGCAAACACTTGAGATGTCTCAAAGGTCCCTCTTCCCCCCTTCCCTCCCCCCCTTCCCTCCCCCACTGCAGATCGCATCGGGCATGACGATAGAGGAGATCAAGCGAGACGCAGCAGCAGCTGTAGCAGACGAGCAAGCAGCAGGCACAACCACCGGCACCACCAGCAGCACCGGAGACACATCCCCCCACTCCTCCTCCCCCACTCCCCCTCCTGCATCCTCCTCCGCCCACTCCCGCCACCCCTCCTCCCACCTCTCACCCGTTCCCCAGTCCCCCTCCACCGCCCACCTCTCACCCGCTTCCAAATCCCTCCCCACTGCCCATCTCTCCGCACCCTCACCTACCCTGCAGCACCCCCCTCCACCAGGCATGCACGCTCCTTCTACCCATCCCTCTCATCCCTCCCATGCGCCATCTCCTGCCCTAGCCTCCTCTCTGCCCTCGCTCACCCCGCTGCTGCCAGGAGCAGGCATGCAGGTGCCAGTGGGTGTTTCCCCCTATGCACTCAGGACTCCTGCTGCTGCTCTCCCTTCCACTGCAGCTGCTGCTGCTCCTGTTGCTGCGAGTGCTGCTTCTGCTTTCTCCCAGCCCGTGCTGGCATCGCAGTGAGTGCCTCGCTTCCCCTTTTTTATCACTCAAATACATCTGGGTGTGTACATGGAGCGTGTTCGCACACGGAGTGTGTTCGTACACGGAGTGTGTTTGTACACGGAGTGTGTTCGTACACGGAGTGTGTTCGTACACGGAGTGTGTTCGTACACGGAGTGTGTTCGTACACAGAGTGTGTTCGTACACGGAGTGTGTTCGTACACGGAGTGTGTTTGTACAGGGAGTGTGTTTGTACACGGAGTGTGTTCGTACACGGAGTGTGTTTGTACACGGAGTGTGTTCGTACACGGAGTGTGTTCGTACACGGAGTGTGTTTGTTCACGGAGTGTGTTCGTACACGGAGTGTGTTCGTAGACGGAGTGTGTTTGTACAAGGAGTGTGTTCGTACACGGAGTGTGTTCGTACACGGAGTGTGTTTGTACAGGGAGTGTGTCCGTACACGGAGTGTGTTTGTACAGGGAGTGTGTTTGTACACGGAGTGTGTTCGTACAGGGAGTGTGTTCATACAGGAAGTGTGTTCGTACAGGGAGTGTGTTCGTACAGGGAGTGTGTTCGTACACGGAGTGTGTTCGTACAGGGAGTGTGTTCGTACAGGGAGTGTGTTCGTACACGGAGTGTGTTCGTACAGAGAGTGTGTTCGTACACGGAGTGTGTTCGTACAGCGTGGGTGCACTCCATAGTAGATAGATAGAAGCATTTGGAAAATCGCGCTTGAGAATCGTTTCCTTGTTGTTACTGCTCACTCTTGATCATTGTTGCTACGTGATAAAAGATTTGTTTTGAGACGTCTCAAAACAAATCGTTTCCTTGTTACTGCTCACTCGCGACCATTGTCTGTTGCTACAATTCTGCTTCCATCTGTTCCTTGTGCTATGTTGCTGCTATGTATATTGCTCCACTCCACAGACGAATCTCATCAGCCCCAGCATCGAATCCGTCCCTGCAGCATCACTTGCAGTACCAGCAGGAACAGCAGCAGCAACAACACCAACAACAACAGCAACAGCAGCAACTGTTGCTGCAGCAGCAGCGGCAGATGTTTCTTCAGCAGCAGCAACAGCAACAGCAGCAGCAGCAGCCCATCCCCCCTCACCTGCTGCAGCACCACCAGCAGCTCCAGTTGCAGCAGCAGCGCCTTCAGCTGATGCAGCAGCAGCAGCAGCAGCAGCAGCAGCAGCAGCAGCAGCAGCAGCAGCAGCAGCAGCAGCAGCAGCAGCAGCAGCAGCAGCAGCAGCAGCAGCAGCAGCAGCAGCAGCAGCAGCAGCAGCAGCAGCAGCAGCAGCAGCAGCAGCAGAATTTACAGGCAGCAGCAGCAGCAGCAGCAGGCGGAGAAAACGAAGCAGGAGGGACAGGAGCAGGCCGAGGAGCAGGAAGGGGAGCAGGCAGAGGAGGGGCAGGAACTGGGGCAGGCAGGGGATTGAGAGCACCGGCAGGACGCGGCAGAGGAGGAAGAACAACGGCAGGAAAAGGAAGGGGAGAAGGAGCAGCAGCAGCAGCAGCAGTAGTTTCTTCCATTACCTCTTCTCCTGCTCTCACTATTCCTCCTGCCATTCAGTCCCAGCGCCTTACCCCTCCTCCTCCTCCCCTTCCTGCTGTTGCTGCTGTGGCTGCGACTGCGGCTGCTTCGAATTCCCATGCCTTGTCTGCTTCACTCGCACGCACACCTGCTGCCGCCACTGGTGGTGCTGCTGCTGCGCCTGCTACTCCTGCTGATGCTGCTGCTGCTGCTGCTGCTGCTGCTGCTGCTGCGGCAGGAGTGGCAGCAGCAGCAGCAGGTCGGACTGGAGCTTATGCCACAGCAATGGGAGCTGGGCGGCTTGTTTCGGCACTTCCTCCCGTGCCAGTGTCTTTTACAATGGTGCCACATGCAGCTGCTGAAGCAGCAGGAGGTGGAGCAGCAGCAGCATGTGGAGGGGTAGCAGCAGGAGGAGGAGGAGGGGTAGCAGCAAGTGGAGTACAAGCAGCAAGAGCGCCAGCAGCAGCAGCAGCAGCAGCAGCGGCAGGGACAGTGGTGCCAGCTGTAGCAGGGGCTGTAGCAGCAACGGGAAGAGGGTCCGGGGTTGGGACAGGCAGAGGAGGAGGAGGGGGAGTTAGAGGAAGAGAGGGAGGTGGAATAACACCATCAGCAGCAGCACCACCACCAGTGGCAGCACCAGCAGCACCAGCCGCAGCAGCAGCAACCATGGGTGGTGGTGCTGTTGAGAGGAAGGTACAAACTACAGCAGCAAACACGGGTGGCAAATTCCGTCCTATTCTCGTCAAGGGTCCAGCAGCAGCAGCCGCTGCTTCTGCTACTACTGGAGGGACAGTCACCACTGCTCCTCGTGCTGCTGCTACTGCTGCTCCTGCTGCTGCTGCTGCTCCTCCTGCTCCCTCCCGCATCGCCACGACCATGACCCCACCAGCAGTGGTTTCTACACCAAATACTCCCGCAGCTGACACTGATATCGAGGAGTACTATAACGAGGATGATGCCACTGCAGCGGCCACTCTAGCAGCCGCAGCATCAGCAGCAGCAGCAGCAAGGGCAGGGAGAGTGAGAGGAAGAGTCCCCAGCGCCTTTGACCTGGCCCTGTCTTTGCCTCTGCAGAACCCCCCGGCCTTTCCCTTTCCGTTCCCCCTGCCACTGGCGCAACGACACGACACCAGAGCCCTGAGACAGCTATCTGCCCCTGTCACGCGATCACTAGAACAGCATCAAAGCCACGCTAATGAGCTTCCTGTTTCTCCTGGGGGAGATACCGTGAAGGTTGAAGCTTCTGATGGTGTGGGTGTTGCTGCCAGAGGTGGAGTGGCAGCGGGAAGGGAAGGGGGACAAACAGCCAATGCTGCTGCGCAAGCGCCGGGGATAGTCAAGGTGGGGTCGATGCCTGGTGCTACCGCAGCAGGAACAGCAGGTGTGGTGGATGGGGGGGAAGAGGTGAGGTCAAGTGTACTGATGCAGTTCAGAGAGGGCTTCCCTGCTTCTGGCTTGCCGTGGGACGCGCTTAAGTGGTGGGGTGCGGAGGGAGGGAATGCAGGCGACATAGGTGGTGTGGGAGGAGTGAAAAGAGTGGGCGGAGGGGATTTAGTTTGCAAGGCTGACAGGGGAACTGGGGAGGATGGGAGTGGTGCTTCGAAGGGTGTTGTGCTGGGTTGTGGGGTGGAAGACAAGGAGAGAGTGGAAGAGGAGGAGGGTCGATTAGAGGAAGTGGGTGAGGAAGAGGAGGAAAGGCATGAGATGGATGAGGAGGGGCAACAAGGGAAGCTAGGGGAGGAGCAGGAGGAGGAAAACGGGAAAGAGCATAAGAAGGGGATGGAGGAGGCGAAGGGGAAGGAGGAGGAAACTGGGAAGCAGGAGAATGGGAAACAGGAGAAGGAACAGCAGAGAGGGAAGCAGGAGGGGAAGAGGAAGAGGGAGGAGAGCACATTAGAGATGGCGGAGAGGCTGGTGGGAATGCATCGAGCAGCAGTGGGGAGGGCGAGGGTGGGCAGGCAGAGTGCGGTGTCACGGGGTTATGCAAGTCCAGCAAGTGGCGGTGATCTCGCTGTGCTCTCGTTTGTGTTTGGTGCTTACACTCCTCGCCAGTGGTGCTGCGATGGTTAGGCTAGGACGTGTGGGTGTAGCAGGGCGTGGGCGGGCAGAGTGCGGTGGCGGGGGGGTATGCAAGTTGACTTTTGAGTCGACTCAAAAGTCAACGCAGAGTGCGGTGGCGGGGGGGTATGCAAATGCAAGCCCCGTGATTCCCAGCGACCTGGCTGTGCTGTCGTTTGTTTTCGGCTGTTGCATGCCCCGTCAGTGGTGCTGCAATGGGTAGGCATGTGTGTGTAGTCACAGCTTCAAAATCGATGTTTTCTTACCCAGTGTTGCTGCAATGACAAGAGACGCTGGTCTGCTTCGGGATATGTTTTGCTGAGCTGCCCAGGTTTTTAGTAGGGCTCGTTGTCAGGCCAGCCTTTGCTCAGGACCACGTTGCACCGCGCTGTATCGCGTTGCACAGTGCATATGGACACTTGCACCGCGCTCAGCCGTGCAGGCCCGAAGCTTACAACTCTGATTCTAAGGGGTGCCACAATCAGCACGGCCTTATGTTTCAAGACAAAATGAGCCCAAATAATACAGACACCCTTGGTATCTATCAAGGTACCGTACTTCGCTTGTATTTATACAAATATATGGCAATCAAGTCAATGAACGTGAAAGCTACTGTACCATCCAGATACCCGTCATTCAGATACCATGCTCTGTCACACATCAATCACCCGTGACAGCTTCTGAATGCGATTAAGCAGCAGGTCACCCTGCTTCAGCACTGATTGGTACTGTGCATTACGCGCATCTGGGCGGTTGGTCTCAAGCACCCCTGCCACCTTGTCTATCTTGCAGTTGAGGCGCCCGCTTGCAATGAACAGTGACAGCTCGCTGCAGAGAAGAGGAAGGAGGGAAGGGCAAGGAAACAGGGAGGGGGAGGAGGTGATGAGAAAAAGGGGAGGAAAACGATTGAAGTGCATGAGTCACGGGTAACAGTGCGTCCGGGCGGTTGGTCTCAAGCACTCTGCCTTTTGAGAATTCTCAAAAGTCACACGGACATGAGTCACGGGTAACAGTGCGTCCGGGCGGTTGGTCTCAAGCACTCCGCCACCTTGTCTATGAAGAGAGACAGCTCACTGCGCACATGGGGGGGAATAAAGGTGGGAGGGAGAGGAGGAGGGAGGGGGGAATGGAGGGGAACGGCAACAGAGGGGGGGAAGGGCAACAGAGAGGGGGAAGGGCAACAGAGAGCGGGAAGGAGGATGGAGGGGAGCTGATGAGGAAAGAGGAGGAAAGGGACGGAAGGGGAACAGTGCGGCTGGCCGGTTGGAATAAAGCACCCCTGCCACCTTGTGTATCTTGCAGTTGAGGCATCGACTGGCAATGAACAGTGACAGCTCGCTGCAGTGGCATGGGGTGATAATGGTGGGTGGAGGGGGAGTGAGAGTAAGAAGGGGAGGGTGTAAGTGAAGTGAGGGTGAGAGAGAGTGTGGGTGAGGTTGAGGGTGACGGGGGAGGGTGAGGGGGAGGGGGAGTAGGAGGGAAGGCATGGCCAGTCAATGCAGGGCCACTCGGGTCCTCACATTGTGGATTTTCCAGCAGGGCCGGTCAACACAGTCAAACCGCTGGTCAAATCACCAGTATCAACAGCATTCAACGCACCTGTCAATGAAGTCAACGCAGTCAACCAAACGGTCAACATGGTCAACCAATCGGTCAACACGGTCAACCAACCGGTCAATGCAGTCAACCAACCGGTCAATGCAGTCAACCAACCGGTCAACGCAGTCAACCAACCGGTCAAACCGGCCAACCCACCACCGATATCTCACCTGTCGATAAAGTCAAGCGAGTCCCTGAAGCTGCGGGCCATGGCATCAGCAGTGACGCTCTTGATGAGTCGGTTTTTGAGTCGACTCAAAAACCGACTCATCACTGCAGTGACACTCTTGTAGCTCTCCAGGAACTGTGAGTATGCCACCACTCGCACCCCCCCTCCCTTCTTTGACAGCTCCCAACACAGACAACTGGCCTGGCCAGTACAAGAAAGTCAACTCACCAGTCAACGCAGTCAAAGCCTACCTGTCAATAAAGTCAAGAGACACCCCGAAGCTGCGAGCCATGGCGTCCGCTGTGACGCTCTTGTAGCTCTCCAGGAACTGCGAGTATGCCACCACTCGCACCTCCCTCAGGATGAAGCGCATGTGTGGATGCAGGTAGCGGTCCTGCCTTATGGGCTCCGTTAGGCCAGCTGGAGGGGGACGGGAGGAGTGGTGGAAGGGTGGAAACAGCAGGTGTAAGGGTCTTTCCCTCAAGGTGAAGCGCATGTGTGCGTGCAGGTAGCGGTCCTGCCTTATGGGCTCGGTCAGGCCAGCTGGGAAGGGGAACAGAGGGGGAAAAAGGAAGGTGTAGGAGTGTCTTCCCTCAGGATGAAGCGCACGTGCCGGTGCCGGTAGCGGTCCTGCCTTATGGGCTCCATCAGCCCGGCTGGGAGGAAGGAGGTGTAGGAGGAAAAGAGGGGGGGGGGGGAGGGGAGAAGAAAGAGGGGTGTAGGGGTCTTTCCGAGAGATGAAGCGCATGTGTAGCGGTCATTGAGGTGTGTTTTGAGGCGCCTCAAAACACACCTGGATGCAGGTAGCGGTCCTGCCTTATGGGCTCTGTTAGGCCCGCTGGAAACAGAACAGACAGAGGAAGAGAGGGGAACAAAAGGGTCCATGAGTCTCTCCCTCCGAGTGAAGCGCATGTGCAGATGCAGGTAGCGGTCCTGCCTTATGGGCTCAGTCAAACCGGCTGAGGTGTGGGATGGGAGAAGGGGAAAGAAAGTGGGATATGAAGGGTGCTCCTTAAAGGGTGAAGCGCATGTGGGGATGCAGGTAGCGGTCCTGCCTTATGGGCTCTGTTAGGCCCGCTGGAAGGGGAGGGGTTGGTGGTGGGACTCAGGTAGTCGCATGCATGAAGGTTGTTGAGGAAAGGCCCGAGGTGGGGGAAAGTTTCAGGCTTACACGTACAAGGTCACACAGACACACACACCCGCACACACCCGCACACACCCACACACACCCGCACACACCCGCACACACCCGCACACACCCGCACACACCCGCACACTCCCGCACACCCCCATGCATACACATATACACATATTCCACGTGACTCACAGAATGCGCAGAACCATGCCTTGCAGTCGAATGCAGATCGTTGAGGAAGGGAGTGTGGGAGGTCTACTAGTTAGGGACAGTGTGTCGTGTGCCATGGTAACGAGGCGACTTTTGAGTCGACTCAAAACGAGGTGACTTTTGAGTCGACTCAAAACGAGGTGACTTTTGAGTCGACTCAAAACGAGGTGACTTTTGAGTCGACTCAAAACGAGGTGACTTTTGAGTCGACTCAAAACGAGGTGCATGCAGGTTGTTGGGGAAGGGAGTGTGGGAGGCCACCCTCCCTTCCTCAACAACCTCCGACTAGTTAGGGACACCACACACACAGCCACCTTCACACCCACCCTCCCTCTGACCCGCCCGCCCTCACGCACGCACACACACCCACCACCAATCAGAGACTCACAGAATGCGCGGAAGAAGGCTTTGTAGTCGCATGCATGCAGGTTGTCGACAAAAGGCCCCAGGTGGGGGATCTGATCGATGACTGTTAGGATCTCCGGGGCGTCTATGACCTGGGAGAGGGGGAAGGGTGGGTGGGTGGGTGAGAGGAGGAGGGGGACGAGCAACACTCAACAAAGGGCCCGAGGTGGGGGATCTGATCGATGACTGTTAGGATCTCCGGGGCGTCTATGACCTGGTGTGACCGGTGTGGGAGGGAGAGGGCAGGAAGGTGGTGGACGGGGGAAGGGGGAGAAGAGCAACACACACTGAACTGCGTGTGATGAGTCGACTCAAAAATCGACTCATCACACAGGGGGAGAAGAGCAACACACACTGAACGAAGGGCCCGAGGTGGGGGATCTGGTCGATGAACTGTTAGAATCTCCGAGGCGTCTGTGACCTGTCGAGAGGGGGAGGGGGGGGGAGGATGGGTTGTGGGAGGGAGGTCGGGGGAGAGGAGCAACACACATTAAACGAAGGGCCCGAGGTGGGGGATCTGATCGGTGAACTGTTAGAATCTCCGGGGCGTCTATGACCTGTCGAGAGGGGGAGGGGGGTTTGAGAAAGGCCGAAAAGGGGCGTTGATGATCTCGTGATTACATAAAGGTGGATGGGAGGGAGAGAGGTGGGGCCTTTTGAGGCGCCTCAAAAATGGGGGAATTCATACAGCTCCCCTATCACAAAGCATTGAAACCCACACACTTTCTGCGTGAGAACCACACACCTTCTGTTTGAGTGCAACCCTGTCAAGCGCCACTACGCTCGGAATGACGGTGTAGAACACGAGGGAGCGGTACGGCAGCAGCTCGTAGGTGGCGAAGGTGGCGATGGCTCCCAGACACAGTCTCACAGTTGCCTCACAGGCCCACAGCCCACACACCTGCTGCTGGGGGACGCACCTTCTGTTTCAGAGCCACCCTGTCAAGTGCCACCACGCTGAGGATGACAGTGTAGAAGACGAGGGAGCGGTACGGCAGCAGCTCATACGTCGTGAAGGTGGCGATGGCTCCCAGAAACAGGTCTGCAGCCCGGGAGAAGTCGCGAGATGCGAGACAGTACAGACCCTCGTACACCTTGAGGCGATTCTTGCGCTCCCAGTCGCCTCCTTCCTCAAGCAACCTAGATTAGGTGGGCGAGAAACGAGTGGGAACAAGGGAGGGAGGAGGGAGGGATCACAGAAGGCCAGGCAGTAGAGCCCCTCATACACCTTGAGGCGATTCTTGCGCTCCCAGTCGCCTCCTTCTTCCAGCAACCCTAAACCCTAAGGGGACGGGAGGGGAGAAAGCAGGGGGAACACGGGAGGAAGGAGGGACCACACATAGTCAGGCAGTAGAGCCCCTCGTACACCTTGAGCCGGTTCTTGCGCTCCCAGTAGTATCCCCCCTCCTCAAGCAACCTGATACCTGTGGATATGAGCGGGAAGTCGAGGTGGAAGAATGCATTTTTGAGACGTCTCAATCAAAAAGCAACCTTAACACAGTGCAGATGAGCGGCAAGTCGAGGTGGAAGAATGCACGAGACTTGCCTTGCCTATAGTTCTTGCCCCCACGAAAAAACCCCCACCCACCACTCTCGCAAGTGCTACAACCCAAATCCACTCACTTCTTGGCCTTGTCAAGGTTGGAGGAGATAAGAGGGAAGTGAGGGTGGAAGAAACGGACTTGCCTGTAGTGCTCTTACATACTTTTACAGCATTATTACACACGCAGCTCACTCACTTCTTGGCCTTGTTAAGGTTGGAGGAGATGGCCGGAAAGTCGAGGTGGAAGAATGGGACTAGCCTTGCCCTGTAGCGCATACACGGATAAACCCAACCCACCAACTCGCTCCTCAAGTGCAACACTCACTTCTTGGCCTTGTCTAGGCTGGAGGAGATGGCCGGAAAGTCGAGGTGGAAGAATGGGACTAGCCTTGCCCTGTAGCGCATACACGGATAAACCCAACCCACCAACTCGCTCCTCAAGTGCAACACTCACTTCTTGGCCTTGTCTAGGCTGGAGGAGATGAGGGGAAAGTCGAGGTGGAAGAAGGCGACTCTGAGCGCGTGGAAGACGAGGTCCATCTTCAGCCCCACAGCTACTGTCTTGGCCTTAGTTGCTTCCAGTTGCGCCAGGGCCTTGTCCTGAAAAATGCAGTCGGGTTGTGGGTGGGAGAGGAGAGAAGGGGAGGGAATACAGGGAAAGAAAGAAGGGGGTTAGAGGGGGAAGCAAGGTTTTGCAGCAGCAAGGGTTAGAGACACGAATCACACAGCAAGGGAACCAGCGCATGCATGAGGGACAACTACCGCGTGCCGATCTGGTGTCATTGGAACGCAGCACGCAGCGCACCGTGTGCCGACATTCTTACGCTAGGCCGAATTCCTGCGCCACGGTAACGCCATGCAGGTCGCTTGTCATGTCGAGACACGGCGGACTGGATCCCCTGCATTCTCCTACCTTTTCAGATTTTTTTCTTATGGTTGTCTAGCATATTGCACTTGAGACTGAACCTCGGATCTCTGCAAACGAGGTGTACGGAATCGAGGTATATGACGAGTCTTTTCCACGGCAGCGTGAACAGCTGCGATTCCAGAAACCTCGCTCGCATAGATTCGAGGCTTCGTCCTAAGCGCATTATGATAGACAACCGTGAGGAAAAAAAAAGCGAAAAAGTAGGAAAATGCAGGGGTCCCAGTCCGCCATGTCTTGTCAGGGCAAGCGACCTGCATGGCCTTGTTGTTGTGCGGGAATTTGGCCTAACGGAAGAATGTCGCTGCGCTGCTTGCTGCGTTCCCATCACACCAGAACGGCACACGGTGGTTGTCTCTCATGCATGCGTTGGTTCTATTGAATGAGAGACAAGACAACCACCTTATCCACCTCCACCCCACCCTCCCCACACTCCGTCTCTTGTCACCGCACCTTATCCCCCACGCGGATGAAGTACAACGCCTTGGCAAGCATGGCCTCGCGCACCTCGCTCTCCCCCAGGTTCTCCTCCGCGTCCTTGATCCTGCGCAGGAAGGGAAGATCGAATCAAATCAGAAGAAATCGGACCAGATCAGATCACTACAGCACCTTGCTCTCCCCCGGGTTCTCCTCCGCGCCCTTGATCCTGCGCGGGAGGGAGACAAAATCAGATTACATCAAATCAGATCGAAACAGATCAGACCAGATCAGATCAGATCAGCTCATCAATGTACCTCGCTCTCCCCCAGGTTCTCCTCCGCAACCTTAATCATCCCCTTCTCACCTTCCCCCTCACTCACTTGTCATCCAGTTTCACCACCTCCTCTACAATCCGCGTCTGCATCGCGGCAACCCGTCAAGCATACATACTTCTTCCCCACAAATGCCCCACCCCTCCTCCCTTCCTTCTCCCCACCTTAAACCCCCCCTTCTCCCCCCCCACCACTCACTTGTCATCCAGTTCCACCACCTCATCTGCGATACGCGTCTGCATCGCCGCAACCCGTCAAGCATACCCACTCCCTCCCCGAAAATGCCCCACCCCTCCTCCCTCCCTTCCCCCCACCCTTGCCCCATCCCTTCAAACACTCACTTGTCATCCAGCTTCACCACCTCCACTATCCGCGTCTGCATCGCATCAACGGCCAGTCCCACCCACAACCACTCCTATGCGCCTGGCTTCCCCCTTCCCCCCTCTCCCTCTTTCCCCATCTTCCCCTTCCAGCTCACTCACTTGTCATCCAGTTTCACCACCTCACCTGCTATCCGCGTCTGCATCGCATCAACCCATCAAGCATACCCGCTCCTTCCCCAGAATCCCCCACCCCTCCTCCCTTCCACCCCCTACCCTCCCCCCCTCACTCACTCGTCGTCCAGTTTAACCACCTCCTCTGCTATCCGCGTCTGCATCGCATCAACGGCCAGTCCCACCCACACCCACTCCCATGCGCCTGGCTCTCCCCTTCTCCCCCCCCCCCCACCAATCCACTCACTTGTCGTCCAGTTTCACCACCTCCTCTGCTATCCGCGTCTGCATCGCATCAACCTTGTCCTGCTGCACTTCCCACCCGTACTCGCTGCTGCCCGCCACGTACAGCGATGCTAGGTCTGGATGGGGAGAGGGAGAGGGGGGGAGGGGGGGCGCGTGCGGGGGAGAGTGGCAGGAGATAGGGAGAGAGAACACGGAATCAATTCTCGCTTCTCCTGCTGCACTTCCCATCCGTACTCGCTGCTGCCTGACACGTACAGCGATGCCAGGTCTGTTGGAGAAGTGTGGGCGTACGTGGGGGACGGTAAGGGGGAGGGGAAGGATGCAAGACTGCGAATTTCGCCATCACTCGCTGCTCGTGATGCCAGCCACGCCGATGCGATCCTGAATCTCACATACACCTATTCTCTTGAGCATATAAACCGTTTTAAAGCTCGAGTCGACTGAAAAGAATCTTACACGAACCGATCTGCGCCAATATATAACCGCTAAAAAACGAAGGAAGGAAAGGTAAAGGAAGTTTCCTAGTAATTATACTAGATCAATCTAAGAACCTGGATTATATACATTCGCACCCATAGAAGGGCGAACGTACGCCATCGTCAGACGCATCAGTACTCGTCACAGAAACTTCCAAGGCTTTTGAGATTTTTGAAGAAAAACGCCTACAAACAGATCCTATTCTTCAGTAGCGAGTGCGATGCGCGGGCACCGTACGATCGCGAGCAATATTTTCGGAGAATTGCTCTCCTTCATCCACCGTATCTCTCTGCCACAACCCAAAAGACAGGCACCGTACCATCGCGGAAAATCTCTTCGAGCACTTCCTCCTTTATCCGAGCCTTATCCAGATCCGACGTGGACGGCAGGCGCAGCAGGAAGAGCTTCTGCGCGAGCACGAGCTTCGGATCCTGCACCTCGCCCGCATCAGCTGCTCCTCCTGCTCCCGCTGCTCCTGATGCCTCGGGTGCGTCAACCATGGTGACTAGGCGTTCGTTCTAGGCAATTGCAAGGATACTATGTGATACGGAGGAGCGGAGTGCTCTAGATTGGGCGACCAGAAGTGAGAAGTGGGCTGACGCGGTCAACCCGAACCAATAACAGTCGTGCCTGAATGACCGTGTCCTTATATTCCAAAATCCGCAATGGCGGAAAGTACAGCTAGATTTGTCGAATGACTGGCTACTAGCTAAGATGCATTTCAGCTGGATCTAACTGGAATCGTTGGAGCGTGTTCAGGCTTACAGATTGCGGTTTCGGACAGCGTTCGCAACCCAGGGTGGTAACCGCAGCCCTCAGTCCCAACTTTAGGGCTTGTTGCAAGTGCAAAAACCGTAAGATCACCGAACCGCTCACCGAGTGTGACTGTAGATCCTGGGCTTGGTGTATGAGCCTCGATACGATCGATCCGCAAAACAAATCGCTGGGTTTTGTACCACGATTGCCTAATGACAGTGCATAATCGGCGAGCTCACGATCAATCGTGACTGCCAAAGCAATCGATCGGGCACTCGCCACCTCTTTCAGTCTTGCACACTGTAGAATGGTAACCAGACTCGACGGTGTTCCTCCACTTCAAGGATCGGTTTTGAGAGACGATCGTTCGCGTACTTGAAACACGCCCTTACTCACCTCACGCTGTTCGCCAGAACCTTGTGAGGATTTGAACTTCTTGAAACAACCCTGTTCCACACCCTTCAAAAGTTTCAGCGACGAAAGGAAAAAACACACTTCGACACGAGGAGATCCAACTTTCGGCGTGTCGAGGAGCTTATTTCATAGTGAGTTCGAACGCGGTTGAAAATATGGGTTGGAGAGTCTCCCGAAGAGTTGTTCTGTGTTTCGTCCAGCTGAACTGTTGTTTTGAGTATCATTTAGGTGTCGTCCTTGTGCTTTGCTGAACAGAAAACTTGTGCACGATTCGTTGGCGAAACTTCGTACGAAAATCGTCGGTGACGCTTTCGCAGCCAGCAAGCTCCAAACTCCACAATCCAACCAGAACCAGCAAACAGAATACAGTACCACATTTTGTTGCTAGTACTCTGTTCAGTATTGTGCGTCGGATCCACCTTCAAACGCGAACGTCAGGGGGGGTGAACGTGTGAGCGAGGCGCCCTCACAAACACCATTGACGTTTCCCAGATTATTCAACCTGACGTCAACGTTAGTGGCAGTTACAAGCCTCTCTCTTTCCGTCTGACAAGGTCGTCGTTGACTACTTTCAACGTTCGTGCGCTGACGTGGCGAGGCCTCGTTTCCGGCCGTTCCAAGCCAAGGCAGCTCCAGGCTTAGAAGAAGCTAACTAACGAATTGCTTGAGCCATCCTCATCTCACCGTCCTTCCTGACATCCATCATCTGCTCTCCAATATCCCACGTGGATTTTCTGTCCTGGCATGTTGATCATCGAGCTAATGCTCGTCGCGCCGTAACGGCTACAATCATCCCCACTGGTCCTCAGTCGCGACTCGTGTGACGCGTCAATTAATCATTAAGCATACTAGTAGAAGCTCCCTAGGTATAGCCAGCCGACAGAAAGGAAGCTGCAAGTTATTGCATCTGCGCCTCGTCTGCTCATATATTCCGTGACCGAATCCCTCCGAACCTCATTTTATAACTCAACATTGTCAAATTCCCCATATTAACATCTGACTTGCAATACTCCTCTCAGTATGGCCTCTCATCTCACATCAGCTACTCGCAATCCATCTTCCCCCGGCGGCCACCGCGGCGGCAGCGATAACCATCGTCGGGGGCGTGTTTTCCGGCGGGTCATTCACGAGCTCATCGACGCGACAGCCGTCATCGGAGACCCGACGAACACTGCCTGCATGGTCCTGCCGTCCTGTCTCATGGCGACGCAGCGACAGTTGGTAGCATATCATAAGGTGTATTCAGCTCCGGCGGATGATGATGCTGAATTCGCGGAGGAAAAAGACTCTGGGGTGAGCAATGCTGATGCGATGGCTGCGATGGGTAAAGAGTGACGGAAGATTCGCTTCTGCGATGGCTGCGGCTGGGGGGATGGCGGCGACGGCTGCCGTTCGCTCAATGGGACTGGGATGTGTGAGGGTCTGTTGCGGGTTCGAGGGCACGTTTCAACCGCCGCCTCATTTTGGCGCGCAGTCGTCACTCACTCACGAAACGCTTACAGCCGACAGCCACCCACCAAGCAGGTCTCAAGTGGGGGTAATAAATCAAGACCAGAATGTCAGGGGTCATGACAGGCGTCAGAAGACAGGGAGAACGAAAGGAGAGGGAAAGTGAACGAGATATTTAGGCGCTGCGGAACCATGCACGTGATTATCTCAAGTGACATTTTGCCTGATACTACTTCAGCTCTAAAGACATTGGCTGGCTGGGGAAAGCCGACCAGAGTGTTTTCTTGTAAATACGCGGAATTTGTAACTGTAATAAGTTGTAAATCTGTGTGACCTGAGGCTCCAGACTTACTGTGACGTGTAGCATCCCCACCCATACGCCGTCGCATGTGATTCGCAGTCGCTCATGTATGTTAAACGTTCTGCGAGGACGCACCTACGATAGAAGTTTCACCTTAAATGCCGCCATGGTTTCAGAGACTGGCAAAAAAATAGTATTTTGCAGTTACCCACCTCCCTCATTTTATCAAAGCATGTCACTGAAGCCAACAAACCCTAAGAAAGTATGTCCGACCTATTAGAGCCTCCGTCATACTTTCCGATGCTACTGTCGCTGGCGGGAGAAGAAACAAAATACGAATGTATCTGGCAATATTGCGCACCATTCAACTTCGCGGTCATTTGAGGTCACAACGCAGCTCCAAACAGGCAGGGAAAATGACCGGGTTCCGCTTCTGCGGAACAAATTTGAGCTGGATCTACGGTGCCTGATGGAATCAGCGGAGTTTCGTGACGGCTGTACGACGGAACGGAGCCATATCGTTCAGCATTTTGCTGCTGGTCCTTGGCATTGGCACAGGGCACGGACGGAACGAACGGAATGGACGGAACGGAACTGGACACAACCGAACGTATCTCTGTCGAGTCGAGTCCAATCAACGAAATTCTAGGCTTGGTCTGGTGGGGCCACGAGTCGCAGGTGTGATCGTAAGCTGTACAGTGAGAAGAACTGTGTCGAAAGCTGCCTTCCCATCAGCGGTTTCCTCTGACATCTAGAAATATCTGGCTAGCATCTGTGACCTGCTTCTATCGAGCCTTAGAACGAACTGTGGGGTTTTGCGGAGGGTTGATTGCGAGTCGCGACGGGAACGCTTGGCTGCTTCGAACGCTCGCTTCGCATTCCGTTTCACAACTCTCAGGAGCACTCTCTGCCACCTGTCTGCCTAGTCCAATCGCCATTAGCCCGATGAGCCACGTTTGAGAGACCTTTGTGTATACGGGTTGGACCAACGCAACTTCCAGGCTGTTCCGCGTGCTCATTTGCTGGCCAAACAAAACCGAATCTTGCATCCATCTCGAACCGCGACTTCCCCAAGGCGAGCCCGTTATGGTCCACGAGCAGCGCGGTCCTCCAATGGATCACGTGTGATGGGCTGGTGTTCCCCAGGAGTTGTTTCAGGTGGCTTCGCCCGTTCATGATTGGCTGGATCGGTTCATACACGGTTCAGCAGCAGACTTGTTCGGGAAGCCAATGGGTGGAAAACGGGCGACACTCTCCACGCAAGCCGATTCGTTGACACAATGAACGAACGTTCGCTCGCCTGGTTGGCTAGCGTGGCGCGTTGTCCATTCGTCAGTCAGTCCATGTCACAAAGCATCTTTTCGCGTTTCACGTCACACCACCAATCGCGATTCGTGATTCTTGTTGGCTGGACCCACCACACACTTCCCCACCGCGTTCCCCGCATCTGCCCTGGCGGCCGACTTTGAATCAGGTATGGTGCACACACGACCCACCCATCCGCCCATCCCTCCGCCTCTGTCGATCGTTCGTCGCGCCGACCTGATCACGCAGATCGTTTTGTTCACTTCACTTCCACTCCCCCGCCCCCCCACCCACCTCCCCCTCCTCGCTTCCGCTCGACTTCCCTCCCTCCAACGACATTATTGTCGAACACTCCGGTTGAGCTTTATAAAGGCGAGTCGAACAAACAAATCCACGTAACAGCGAGTCAATCACACGATATCAGCTCATTACTTTCAGTTTTACCCTTAACGCCTCCAAGTCTTCGTAGGTAACAAGAGTGTCGGCTATCAATCTGCGACTCATCCAAGAAAACCGTACGCCCTCATAGTAGCCTCTGCGTTCGTGAACTCCCGCGACCTTCTTCGATCGCCTCCCGTTTCGACCTTCTCACCGTCGCTCTTGTTACGAACGTCCAGCGCTTCCTGCTTCGTGTTTGGGAATCACTTTTGAGAATTCTCAAAAGCGTGTCGACCTTCTCACCGTCGCTCTCGTTACGAACGTCCAGCACTTCCTGCTTCTCGTTCTTCTCGCTTCATCTACATCTGCTTTTGATCCCCCCTCCCCAATCTCGACGTCAAATGGCCATTTCAAGCAGACCGAAACTCCCGCCGCGGGCTCCATCCCCTACTCCCTCTTCTCAACCGGGCAGCCTATCGGGCAGCCCTTCGGGCAGCGCGTCCTGCCCGAGCAGCACGACCAGCAGCCCGAAGCGCAGCCGCAGTCCGAGTTGCCACAGCCGAAGCAGCGGCTGTAGCGCGACGAGCAGCCCTCTGCGGTGTCGCGGCAGCCCCAGCAGCAGCAGAAAACCCGGCGGCCTAAGCGCGAGCAGTAACCAATGGTGGGCGTCCGTGCGGACCGAGGGGAAGGGGCTGGCGCAAGCGGTGGAGAGTCTCGTGGCGAACACTGTCGCGGAGTTCAGTGTCATTGAGTAGAGATGACACGCCGCAGCCGGAGATGAAACGCGACGTGCTCGCCTCTTACGTGTCTGGGTACAAGATAGCACCTAGTATTCCCTGGAATCGGGACTTTGATTCTTCACTCAAATATTTGACTCACGATTGACCCTTTTCAGCA